TTAACCCAGGGAACTCATTTGGTAACTAAGCTTTCAAAATCCAACAGAGATAATCGATACAGAATATTCCTTTTCTTTTCAGATATTTCTGTTTTCTGAAGGCTTTTTTTCTGGTCTGTGCCCACTGCTATCTGTTCTACTTTGTTCTTCACTTTCCTCCTATTCATGCTCTTAATACCACCCAACAGACTTCTAGGCTGCCGCTGTTCTTTTAATCCAAACTCCAGCTACAAGCAGCTGTTCTGTAGGCAGACTTTTTTTTATTAACTTTGTTAGGAACTATGCCGTATCATATTACCGTCTTCTGTTCACGGCCTGTGCAGCTGTAGTCATTGCTTTCCACAGAAGTCTTTACAGAAAGCCATAACCTCTCTTTTCTCAGTAGATTTGTGTGTGTGTGTGTCCTTTGCTGCCCTTAGGTTATCTTTGCATTGTGAATAAGACTTTTTCTAGCAAGTGTTTTTGTCAGTTTAAACCAGTTCCACTGGCCAAGTTCAACTTGATCTGAGTCTTTGCACAGTACCAGTGCTTTTTCTACCAGGAATTTCCTTTCATTTAGGTTCTCAAAAAAACCTTAATTTCAGAGCAGTCCATCAGTTTTGGAAGGGCTGATTAGCATTGCAGCCAGACAAGAATAAGGAAGCAGGGCCAAGATCTGGGAAAGTTACTTCTATTAAGGTACTTAGCTTTCTGTTAACTTCAGTAGGAGTTCAGGCACGTAAATAGGTTTTAGGAGCTAAAAATCCCACATAGATCTGGCTTCAGGCACTTTTCATTGAAATTTAGCCATTATATGAACAATGGTAGGTGAACCTGAAAATACCTTATTTCTCTTCCAGTCCAGCAACTGAATTCACCATCATTTCATTGCTAGTGTCTTTGCCAGCTCCCTGACTGGTTTTCAGAAGCTGAATTAGAAGCTATTAAATGGAAAATTAGGTAGAGTACATTGCACCAAATGTTTCAGACTTAGAAAAACTCCCTGCTCCCAGAGCTAGCTGAATCATAGCAAATGCAACATAATACGATAGGGAAAGACTATCAGATATGTGATGAGACTCAAGGAATCCTATGTATGATTCTTGAGAAATTTAAACATGGGATTAGCACAAGAATGCCAGCTAGCTAATCAGGGCACAGTCCCCAACAATTAGTTTCTTACAACACCACAAGCACAGCCTTTTTCCTGCCTTATCTTTCAGTGCATCTCCCTGAAAATCGGGATTAATAATAAAGTTCCCATTAGGAGCATATCTAAGCAGCAGTGTATAAGAGCAGCTACGTAAGTCTTCATGTATCTTATAGTTCCAATGTAATCTGAAATAGTAGCTGACAAAGACACGATTTTTGGCTTCGATAATTTTTACTGTGAACAGTGATCGCTTCATCACAGTTAAGTCATGTTTAGAAAATTTAAACAAGCTGCTTGATTACTCTAGGAAGCATGGAACGGTTTGTTCAAATCAGTACCATCTGTGGACAGAAAAAGTTGGGGGAATTTTAGTCATTCTTGAGGAATGGAAATCTGATTCTCCATGCTAGAGTAATTGTAATCCTCCTTGTATCTGTAACCCAATAGCATAGCTGTCTTGAAATTGTCTGTGAACACAGTCATCAAGCGCAAGAGATACTGTGCCACTGGGTGTCACTCCTCTTCACTGTGGTCCTAGGATTGAACCTCTTCGATTTGCTCCAGATTAAGATCACATATTTTCATTTGTCCTAATGAGTGATTATATTCATATTTTATATGTCCATGTAAGCAAGGAGATAAAATGATCTTGATTTTAAGCTGACTAATGTTTAAGGTTCTGGTTTCATTTTAAAGGTCTGTCTAGGCACTGGCAGAGACAATTTTATTATGAATTGTGCTGGCTGAGCCTTTATTTTGTGGGCTCAAAATATTTTGTTTGTATAGGTCTTAGTAAACTGGAAAAATGACAATGTAAAGTAGCTACGAAAGCTTTAGTCTGAAAGAAGAAATGGCTGTCTAATCTGTCTATTATGATGATACCTGCAAGTTTATCTTTAAAAATGGTAGTTTTCATGTAGTGTTACTTACAGGGATAATCACAGGCATTACCTTCAGCCTTATGAAGATAATGTAAATGGGCTCCCTCTGTAGTCAGTGGGGAAAAGTACAGATAGAAAGAAAAATAATTTCTCAGCCTTCCATTCTTTCCCCCACTGTCAGTGAATTTGTCTCTTTTCCGAATACAAGGAAAACTCATAGAGGCTGGATTTATTAGACTTCTCTTGGCCTGTGTGAGAGCCCACAAATCAGAGCCATTTTGTTTGTTTTGTCATTTTGTCTGATATAATTTCTAGTTTTATGAAAGCAAAGCATCATTTCCATCTAAATTGCTAACTCTCAGTTCTTTATCATGTCTTCTGTGTTCGAACTGGGGGAACAAGGTACTGTCCTTAAAAAGGAAAGCCCACTGTGCTGTCTAGAACATGGGCACTGCTCATTCTATACCTGTGACTAGCCTCTTTAACCTGCCTTGTTTTAGGTGCAGAGACTGCAGTTGTGCCAGCCATGGTTTTACCAGCTGCATATTTGAGCGAGTGAAGGTATATATTTCTGTATAAAGGTATATATTTCCGTATGAACTTCCTATTAACAGTCAGCAAGCAACCAGTTACTATCTACTTCATTGCAAGCCCCTGTTTCAGTACTGGAATACAGCCCAGTAATCAGTTTTCAGCAGATAGAAGTTAGTAATGGTAGACTAAGAGGCATTAAAGACCATTGTTTACATCTTCATGTTGCATACTTTCACACTTTTATTCCAAACTCGCCAGTGATGGCTGTTCCTATCATAGCAAGAGTTCCTGGAGTTGTGTCTGTGAAGGTGAGGTCATATTTCTTATCAAAAAAAAGAATAGTAATCCCTCTGAGTGAGAAAGAGGAGAATTTAATTTTCTTAAATGCTTTTTATTTTTACCTCTTCTGATATCTTTTGAATTTCTGACTTGATTTTTTAATTCCTGGAATACAGAATATTGGGCCTTAAAATACTTCAACTCAACTTCAGAGTGAGACTGGGTGATAACTCTTTTTTCACTCCAATAGTTTTATCCATTCTATCCCACATTTTATTATTGTCATAATTGAGTGTGTAAGATTAATATTTTTTGCAGTATCTTAACAGATATTAATAGCTTATATTATAATAGTGTAGGGGATTTTTAGAGGAAAGATACAACTGTGTTCTAGTAACAATTTAGGATTTCTCAGACTTCATTTTTCACTAAGTAATGGTCAAATTAAGCCTTTTCTTGTAATTTAAACAAATATCTAATACAGTTTATAGATTTTTTATGAAAATATTGCAGTGCTAATTTCTTTTGGAAAGTCAATAAGCTAGGTATTAGTTCTCCAAATCTGTGCACATGCAAGAATGATACTGCATGTTTTGGGTATTGTTACTACTTTCTGTACTTATCTTTATGCTAATAACAGCGGAGCAAAACAACTTTAATTTTGATAACATGGGTTATATTGATAGAAGTTGTCTTTGGTGAAGACTTTTTCTTAGACAGTTTGTTCTTGTTCTGTATCTGGCTACTGTGTAGCAGGTTGGGAGCATATGGGGCTGTTGCATGCTGTGATGTTGTGTACTTCTGTGTGACAGCTGACTGGAAGAACAGGGGAAGGGCCCACGGTTCTTTGCCTGGTCCCCCTCCTGCAGACTCCACCTGCTTTAGGCTCATTTCAAGGGATTTTAATTTCTCAACCTTTTCACCATCACAGCTTGGTTTGACTCATAATTTACACATCATTTTAAATATTCATATTTAGTGAAGAAGTTTCAGCTTGTTATATGTTGATGATTTCAACAAACATATTGTTGCTGAAAAAAGCAGAGATCAGATATTCCCACAAGGCTGAACAAAAACAGAAAGGAAGGTTTTCTCTTTCTTCCCCGGTAATGTTGGTCTGGGATGCTTTTCTTCTTTATGTAAGCCTTGGGACTTCTTCAGTTTCAGTTTGAGGGTGTATCATGTGTTTTTCTTTGACCACTGATACCTCTTCCCCCAAAGACTCTAAAGCACTCTTTAAAGCTAAGTGCACAAAATGATTTCTGAGCTGATTGGTCAGCACAGTTTTTGCCACAGAGAGTATTAGTATTATCTTTCAGAGTCTTAGAGATAATATTAGCTTACTGTATGATTATGTGATATAGCACAAAACCATATGTTACATCTAGTCTGTGAGAGCTGGGAGTACACTGTTGGCTCAGTATAGATAGAATAAATGTGTACATGTGTATGTGAGTACACAACACGCACTACTTCTATCTCCATGGACATGAATATAACTTGTGTATACTCATATATACTTACGTATATAAATAAATGGAAGCAGCATTTGTGGGAAATTTCTTTTTTTTGCTACATATTACGATCTTATTCAACTCTTTCTGTCAGTGTTCTTTTAATTTGTTGTTTGCTGAACAACTTGTAAAGCACTTACATAACGCTAGGCAAACATACTGTTTGTATTGAATCTTTCCATTCAGAATATGAAACAGGAGACTTATGAAACCTCGAGGTATTGCATGAGGATTTCATATGTTACTGAGAGAGAGAGAGAGAAATGAATATTTCTAAGTGAGAGGTGAAGAAGCCCAGTTAGCAATAGCACTAAAAGGTGATATGGGTAGGCCAAAACCAACTTTGCTTGATATTCCCTCCCTCATTTGAGACATAGCCCCAAAAGTAGCAACAGGAATGTCACACCTCTCAAAACTTGCTCCTGCATGCCACACCTGGAAGTATTATTTTTTATTTCAAAAACTATTGTAAATGTACAGCACCTATATATGTACAGTGGGATTTATACCAATGGAATTACTTCTGTTAACCATATGAAGTTGAATCTTGGTCTTTAGACATGCTTATTAAAATATTTTTCTCAACACTGAATAAAAGGGTTATAATTGCAATCACTTTTCATTCTTATTAAGATGTCTTACAAGTGTTTTAATCTGTAGTTCCTAGTGCTCCCAGGGATATTGTTTTTTCCAATGTGCAATCAACAAGTGTGACTTTGAATTGGAGAACACCAAAATCTATCCTTGGCTACTTTCAAAACTACAAGATTACCACACAGCTACAATCCATCCACTGCAGTGACTGGGAAACTAAGGAGTGTGTTGAATATGAGATGCATCAATATTTATATGAAAATGTGATGAACGACTGGATAGAAGACACAGTGTATGGACTGAAAAAATATAGATGGTACAGATTTGCAGTTGCTGCCAGTACGAATGTTGGTTATGGCAGTTCTTCACCTTGGATTTCAACACAAACACTTCCTGGCTGTAAGTAAGGATATCTCCCATGTCTCATAATGCTGTAACAATGTGATATTCACCTAAACAAGAAAGAACACTTGGTAGAAGTTATTTCTTCGTAGGCCTACAATGTTGGTGAGGTTAATAAGGATTTATTTCAACTCTTCACCTATGAAATATCATGGTATAAATCATGCGGTAGGTATACATACTTAACACTTCTCGATATTTTAATGCCTTTTGTGTGCTCTATTTTATTTACTGCTTACCCAACACCAACTTCGATCCTTAGCAATACTACACATCTAGACTTGGTAAGTCTGAATTTTGGCTTATTTGGGTTGATAAGCCATTTTCAATACATCTTCACATGTGGCGTGTGTCAATGAAAAGTACTCATTTTTTTAATTGACTAAACGTCTGTCTAATTAACATTGTAACACTTTCCTGAAGTTCTGATGTATGTTCCTGGCAATAGAATTTAAGCAATAGTTTCAGAGGAGTTAGAGATTTCTTTCCAAGACCATATACACCTATGAAGTTTGCAAATCAGATTAGCCATGTGACTTGTAGAGGATTGCCGTGACACATATTAGAACTCTCATGCCTCAGCTGAGGATTGAAGATTCCATGTAAGAGAAGAGTTAGTTGTCACAGATAAGTCATCATTTAATATTTGAGAGAAGGGGATGTGAAACATATATTATTTAGGCAGTAGTCATGTGGGCAAATGACCTTCCCTATCAGTTTGCAGCCATCCTAGGTCAGAGAATATCTGAGGTCCAGCCTCTGGCCTGCATAGGACAACTGAGAATCACCATGAGTTGCCTGACTGAATCACGACTCCTTCACTTATTTCCCCTTACAAAGTAATAATAATGCATATACCAAGGACGTTAATAACTGTGTACCAGGAATTACGCAAGGGTCCACATATTGATTTTGTTGCACTCATGTTTCTAAAACCATTTGATGTGAATGCAGGAGGCTTTTATGTAATGCTTCTTTTAGTATCTGTGCACTCACTGAACAATAATAAATCCATCTATCTTCAAATACATCACATTTCTCTACTAGGTAAGCAAATATTGTCCCCTTCATTTGCAGATGAGAAATTGAAATAGAGAAATTCTAAGCCCCAAAAGGCAAAGAGATTTGGACACCATGATAGAAAATACCATAACAACCTGTTTTTCCTGTAAAGCACAGAAGCAGTCCTTTGGATTGAGAAGTACTGGAATCAGCTGCAGAGTCATTCTCATGTGCATGAACTTTCTTTGTCCAGTGACTCATATGGGGATACTCTGCCTGTAAATCAATGCAATATTTTAAATGAAGAAGAAGAAAAAAACCCTAATATATTCAGATGGGACAGAAAATAACTAACAGAAGTTGTGCAATTCTTGAGCCAGAAGCTCTGGGGAGATGCCTTACTATTAAATTGATAGAATTCAGCTGCTGACATATGCAAATACTCGTTTTCTAAAAATTGTTAATTGAGTTTAGAAAAATTGGGGATTAAATCTGAACAGAAAAGCAAATAATGAAAACACATATAAATGCATGAAGTTAGAATCCTCTTTATTATTTACTCTCTAGACAGTGATAATTTGTTTTAAGAAAGAACTAGTTTCCTAGCAGTCCCACTGACAAGAAGGTAGTTAAAATTATAAAAATCTCATTAGACTGCACATGCCCTTTCCACACCAGTACAGTGTCATTCTCAGCAGTAGGTGCTCTATTAGATAGTTTAAAAGTTGTGGGGTAGAAGTGAAGAAAGTTCCATCTGTTCTTCCAGCCCAAGTGTTTGGGGCTGTGTCTGTGGTGAGGGAAGTAGGCAGCAACAAGCTTCGTGTGAGCTTAATTGGTGACATATCAGGAGATAAGCTGCCTATAAACCACACCTCTGTGGAGTCAAGGAAGCATGGGCACTATTCCAGATATCATGGCTGGGTGCTGGTCTTTTTTCCTGGGGTAATGGCAATCAGCTGAGGAGTTAAAAAAGAGGATGGTGACATGTCACAGCTGGGTAGCCAAGCTGGAAACTCCATTGTGCTTCAGCAGTGCTGGGAGCCTTCCTGAGCAGTGGCTGATCTTTAGCAATGGCAGTTCTCTAGCCACATCATACATGGCAAAGACTAAACTTTAGAAATACTGTTAAACAGACTAAAGAAAACCTTAGTTCCCCTCTTTCTTTTGCAAAGCCTGTAGCAGGAAAGAAAAATTTAGAATGAACCAAACAGACACAGTACACTGGCCAGCCTTGCAGAATGTATCTAGAGAACAGGTGTTGATCCCCCTCTCCTTTCCCTCATGGACAGGGCCAAGCATCCTCTGGATTAGCCTGCTGATACACAGCCAATATACATGGTCTGTTAGGGCTTAAGGGTGCTTAGCTGCTATGTAAAATACCCTGAGTACTTAGCCCATAAAATCAGTGGGAGTTGTGTTTGCAGGTTTGAGGGCAGAAGTTAGCCACTGTTTTGCTTGATTTTCAAGAAATGCCTCTGTAAGGCATTGCTTCTCCTGAAGGTAAAGTTACCTTGGTTATGAAATAACTGTCAAATGATTTTCTTCATAATTCATTGAATGCTCATAAGTTTGTGTTTCTCTCAAACCTAAAGAAAATATTATAGGTATTATATTCATATTCAGGAGGTTTCAGCATTTCAGCTGAAAATGGTTAGACTAATTTCCCAGCATATAAAGAAAAGAAACTTCAACAGCAGCAAAAATTACATAACAGAAATCCTAAGCATTTTTTGCAAGTGCTGAGGATTTGACTGTTGTGCTAGTGCAGAAATACCTAATAATTCTGAATATCCAGTGACTTAAGGTGAGGATCTTAACTTCTTTCAGTTTTTCATTATGAAGGCAAATGTAAGCCTACAGGAATTACTTTTAAGATTCCTTAACCCATTTGCAAGTTTCAAGCAAAAAATAATGGCAGTGTTTTGTACTGAGTGTGGTTATAGAGTTGCTCCATAGAAAATGTTATAGGTTGTTCAGTACAGTCTGGTTCTCACATCACACAGATAACCTATTCAGCCTTCTGTCTTACAGATTATCCTCACAGGAATTGTCCTATTGTCTCATAAAATAGTTTGATGGCACTGTTATTGCTTATCTGATTGATTACCCAGGAGTCAAATCTACTCTGAAAGATTGAATATTTTTGTCATAACTTAGATTTATATAGTTACCAGCACAGAATATCACAGTGTTGAGTCACAGTAAGGGAAAGAGCAAGAAACGTTTTACATAGCTAAGAAAACTTCATTTGCTCACACCTGCACTTACCCTGACCTTCACTTTTGCATTTATAAGGAGAAGAAGATCGGCCAAACTTCTGTTTTCTAAGAGAAAAATAATTGTGGAGGGTCAGTGTTAGATGGAAGATGAATGACAGTGACATCACTGACTTCATTTTGGATCTCATACAGTTACACAATGCAATGCTTTTTGGTAAACTGCCAAGTCTCCTAATGCCAGGATATACTGAGGTAAAAAGGAAAACCCCAGATGTTCGAATATCCCATGAACACTTGGACATAGATGCATGGGCAGAGGTTTATGCTTCTCCTTTCAGCACCTTCTTTCCCAATCTCTGCTGATGCCCAGTTACTTGGTACTATTAAAGATGAAAAGTATGTATGATGAAAAGTAATGAGATTTCATGTCTTGTGATGTGCCCTTTCTTCTGGAAAGTTTTGCCTGAGAGAACTTGTTTTAATTTGTTCCTTTCATTTCCTCAGAACTAAACACTGGAAAGTAAATATGACCTAATATAGCTGCTTAAATATAGGTAAAAGTAGCCCGGATTATTATAAAATTAGATAACTGAAACACACAGTTAATTTTTGTTGTGGGGGAAAAAAAAAAAAAAAAGAAAAGAGCTGATCTTAACCAAACTGGCAACCATGAATTTCTGTTAGAAGACTGGAGTATTCAGTCTTATTTTTGAGGATTATGCTAAAAGATGGGCTATCCAGGCTTATCTTCAAACTAACACACTTAACTGCTGCCTTAGCACCAGGACACAGATGGATGGGAAAGATGACCCTGACCTCCATAAGACCCACATTCCTGTGCAAGGATAGAAGCATGATAATCAGGAAATGATGGTTATTAGTTACAGAAAATGCATTATTGTGAAAACCAGGAGAAAAGTGCTTATGAGAGGAAGTGATTGGATTATGGGGAATGAGAGAATAAGACTAGGTCATTTCTACTGAGTAAATTGCTGTGATTTATAAGAGAAAGAGTGTAGTGATATGGCCTCATATTGACTAGATTAATTTCACAAGCAAACCTATATCAGAATGTGGCACTGAATCAAACAGACTTTTAAAAAATACGTTTTTTGTAAGACACAAGACATGTTAAACACCTTTAATTTTGTAGTTTTCTCTCTAATTATACATATTATTTTAGAAAATATTCCTACATTTAAAAGTGGTTTGGTTAATGTCTGATATTTTACTGTTCACTGTGAAAATGAACCAGGTATTAACCCTTAGATGTATTTTAGACAAGTATCTTAAATATAACATGTTCAATCAGAATTTTATTACAAAGATCTAAAAATGCATCAAGTCTAAACTACGTATGGAAATTATCCATTTAAATAACTGCAGGTTGGATAATTTGTAGATTAGATTATGCTTTAAAATTATTTCACATCATTGTTGTCTAATGCATAAATGTAAAGCGGCCTCTGAAAAAAATTCTGAGAGATTAAATGCTCCACTAGTTCTATAAAAAAGTGATGGAAAATTGTCTTTGGAAACTTGGTTGGTTTGAAAACTAAGGCTCAATAAGCTATAAATATAATTTTATACTGTTTTTCAGAAATTTCATTTTGCAGTAAAGCTAATAAATACCACTGCCATAGTTACTGAAAGCATTGTTTACACTGAAAGACACTGTTTGAGCAACAAGTCTGACATGCATTACCTGAAAATAAACTTTATTTGTGCTTGTTCTAATTTTCAGGGAAGAAGTTTGCCCTTGTATTTTGTTTTATCTGTTGTAGCTCCCCACCTGACAGCCAGCCTTCACTGAGCACTCTCCTCTTTCACCACCCCTCATGTGCTCTCACAGTTTGTTCAGTTACGCTCTTCATTCAGTTGTTCCATGCTATTCAGTATTTTTGGGGACTGCTTCCAATGGTTGAATTTGATCCTGCCTATAAAGTCTTTTATATTCCTGCTAATCCCAACACAGCAATCTGACTCCTGTATCTAACACCACAAACTCATCATAGCACTTTATTTACTCCCAAATCTTCCTGGTTTTTTCTGCAGCCATGGTGTCAAATTTGTAGTGCAAAGTTTTATTATTTTCCTCATTAATCTTTCATATGTAATTCCAATAGCTACATACTTCGTTCTGTGGTTTTTTCCTTTTCCTACCCTATTTTCCTCTTAAAAAACTAAATAGCCTTTTATACCCTCCATTTTTTTCCTCATTAACCCCTCTTATCTAATGATTAATGGTAGCAAGCTACATATTCCTGCATTAATTTTGTTTTAGAAACAAAACTGCACCTTCTGGTTAGAATAGGTATGATCACTTTAATAATGCTTTTATAACATACTGGTAACTGATATGTATATTTTTGTGTAGGTTAAAAAAAAGGCACCATGAACCCAGGTTCCAGAAATATGTCCAGATCTGCTGCTTCTATAATAGGCTGTTCTGTGATACTTACCACAGTTGTCTCTTTTTTTGTAGTAGACCCCAAAAAAAGTACCATGGAGCCAAGTTCTGAAGTTATCTACAAATCTGTTGTCACTTCTGTTCCAAGTTTTGTTTTCCTGATATTTAAAATGGCCATTATGAAAAAGTAATACCACTTACTGAGAACTTCTGTGTTGTTGGTATTATGATTTCATTAATTTCTTTTTCATGGGTAAGAAATAACTAGTTAATTCACGTCACCTTGACAAAAGGAAATTTTAGGGAAATCCCGTTTCTTAACGTGAACGTTCTTGCCCTCTTTTAATTCCTATCACGTTTTTTGTGTTTGTTTTCCGGAGCTTCTAAACATGTTAAGAATAACTTGAAAGGAAATGTAGAAAGATATTTCTACTTGTACTCTCTCACATTGCTGGAAATTTTTTCTAGCATGCAGAAAATCAGGTATTTTCATAATTTCTGTCTCTTTGAATGATTCACTTGACATAAACAACTATAATTTGTCTAAATAGTTGCATATATTTTGCTTGCATCATGTAAAATTAATATAAAAAACTTTTAATTTAATAATCCTATAGTTTCAATTGAAGATGAAGTTGTAGGCAGTTCATACTCCAGAAAAGTCGTAGTGGTTACAATGAAAGATGTGTTTCTAAATCACACAATATGTTTTAGAGATGGAAAAGAAAGTTACAATTATTTAAGAAGTGTATAATGATAAATGTGTGAAAAAAATTTATTTTCAGATCTCTATTGGCCACAAATTACTGGGTTATTTTTTTGTGTACTTCTTTGGCCATGATTTACATGCATAGTTTTATCTGCAGCTCCAGATGGTCCTCCAGAAAACGTGACTGTTTTAGCTACGTCTCCTCACAGTATTAATATCACCTGGAGTGAACCTGCCATCATCACAGGACCAACATGCTACCTCATAGACGTTACCTCAGTAAGGCAACTCTGTTTTACTCTTGGTAGTTATACAGGTGTTTGATCATGTAAATACCACAGCAGAAATTACAGGACGGAAATAACTGGTTTGGAAAAAAAAAAAAATGACTGTGTCTATTTCCACATGAATTCCACAGAAGAATTAATTGTAGATTTATTAATTTCTTAATGGGAGATAAATTAATTACTTTGTATTCAAAAATGTGTCCTAGTAATAGCTCTTGGAGAAAAAAAAAAAAGTAGCTATAAAAGTACACAGGAAAACAGTAGTTGAGCTTTGTGGAAGTGTACATCTCTCTAACCATAATGACTTCTTTTTAGTTCAAAGGAAGGTTCATCCCAGTGATTTTACAAACCAAAGTGGACAGCCTAGCAAAAGGAAATGACTTATACAAAGTTACATGGCACCAGAGGGCAAACTTTAAAGTCAAACTAGACTTCCCACTTTGCATTCGGTGTTCTGTCCATCAGATTAGCTGTATTTTGGTAGCACAGCAATAACACTTCTTTCTCCTTGATCTTTGTGACCAAAAAAAACCCGACATTAGAGAAAAGCTCTAGTGGCCTTTCTCTTTTCATCCTCTACTATTCTTACAAAACTCCTTAAAACCACCATTAATAAACCTAATTTCCTGCCCTGTGGCAAGATATGCAACTAAGTTCAAGCACACGAGAAGTAGGATGTAGGTTCCTTGTTCTGCCAGAAATTATACAGACAGGGCTATCAGTAAAAATAGGAAGTAGTGTACCAGACTTTGTCCAGGAAAAGTTGCTGTTTGCAGTTTCAAAACTTCTGAAGCAACCTGTTAGATAGTAGCAAAAATCCAAACCAAACCAAACCAAAAAATTAAAGACTACTTCAAACTATTTAAAGGCTTTTAAAAGCTCTTTTTATTTTCTGAGAGTAAGATTATGTGTGTATTTTCAATGTTTCTGAGTCTGTCAAAAGTATTACAGAATGCCAACATATTAGTGCTGAGATTTTTGTGCAATCAAAATTTCTAAGGAGATCAGTAAAAAATACAAAACATTTTTAAGGTACTCAGAAAAGTTACAAGAGAGTCTAATGTGTAGTCCTGCAATTTTCTCTTCCTCTAACTTCATTGTACAAGATGTAGAGTGAAATCTATTCAGTTCTAAACATGGTTCCTACAGCAGTAGAATGGCAGGATGAAGGATATAGGAGAGCAAGGGGAGTACTTACAGGGAAGGAATGGTTCCTTGGCCCAGTGGGTAGGTCACTAGAAACTATATAATGAGTTTTATTTCTCCTTTAATAAGTTAGAGAAGACTTCTTCCTCCTGAAAAGTTCCTGTCACTTTTGCCTAAACAGCATTGTAGTGCATTAACAGAGAAACATTTTGTTTTTTATAAAACTTCCAAAACCATATTTTCAAATCTTGAAATTTTTTTGTATTTAATATATAATCCATTTGTATTTAAAAAATTTCTTCTCTCTCTGATAATTCCTAAATAATAGAGTATAATCTGATTCAACACTCTAGAAATATTATAAATACCTTTTCAATACAAATTATAGTAAAATTCCTAAAGCAAAATGAGCTATAGAATGTTACCTATTCCATGTGAACCTGCCAGCATTTGGAAACTGTTTTAAGTCTTCAGTTTGGAAGACTTTGTTTTTTATTTCACAAAGTGAGTTTGTTTGAGTTTTTTCCCCAATATATTTCATGTAATCAGCTCTGTGTCTGTGGATTCCTTGTAATCAGATGTTGTCTGTCTAATGATCAGTAACTACAGGTGCCAGTTCTGTAGAAATTTAGTAGACAGACAAATCTATTCTTTCTTAAAGGCCAATAAAGCTGTCACAATCTTTTTCAGTGAAACTTTTAGTTTATATTTTATAGCCCCAGCGGGAAATTTTTATGAAGACTCCAAATATCACAAACTTCCTGTATGTATAACTTTACTCATTTTTATTTTTAAATGAGTATCTTTAAGGATTTATAAAAATAGGATCACCAAACAGAATAATTCAGGTTTCTACTCTGCTGTGCACTAAAAGTTAGTAATTAGTATTCATGACTCAATGTATTAGGGTTCTGTTTAAATTACTAGGATGTTCCTTGCAGTTTTGTAGATCAGAAAAACTAAGAAGTACTCCTTCATTATTGTTCCTCAGAGACATGTCTTACTTTGTCTGGTTGTCTACTATAATTAGAATAGTCCTGAATAAAATATTCCTGGAAATGGGTAAGGAAAATAGAATTGAACCATTAAACTTCATGAAGAATAGAAATAAATTTATTAATGTAGTACTGATTATATCTTAGTTGTTGTATAAATAATTATATGCCAGGTTTTTGATAGTCAGATAGAAGAAAGTGTTTCAGCTCTTGATGGCTATCCCAGGAAATGAATGTCTGTTTTATCCATCAGAAAGTTTCATTCAGGTTAATTCTCAGTGGGGATATATGGCTATCTGTCAAATAAAAGATATGCTTGAGCTATTCTAATGTTTTATCAGGTGCATTTAATACTGATTTTGTTCAATGGGAAAACTACTGTACAGCTACCTAATCCTCTTTTCAAATTACACACCGAAGAAACAATAATAAAAACATTATTAAGTGAAGTAATGGGAATAGACATAAATGAAATTATCGTAAATGATACTTGATCCAACACTAGAAAAGATCCAATTTTTCCTTTTTCTCCTTTTTTGAGGATACCATTAGAAGTGATTAATTATATCTAAAGTCTAACAACCGAGATTTGTCTACAGAACTACAGATTGTTTGACATGTAAAGATGATAGGTAGCCCAAAATGTAATCCAACCCATAGTCTGCTCTAACACAGAAACAAATGTACCTAAAGTATTCCTCACAAATCATTTATTACACTTTCCCTCTCATGTCTGGTTTTGAAAATTGCTCAACAACCCTCAACAGATTGTTTTATTTTCTAGCTAAACTTATAGGCAGAGTTTTAGTTACTTATTTCAGTATATCATTGTAGGTCATGTAATTTTTAATTCTAATTTTTTTTGTGCAAGTAAAATTTCTATTTTCATGAACACTGTAAACAATGGATTATCTTCAATTTATTTACATGATTTTTTAATATATTTCGAAGTCTCCTACCATCCCCCCTTTTCTAGATTGAACCCTACATATTTCTGCTTTCCAGTTTTTCTAGTGAGAGAATTACTCCTTACTCACTGTCTCATATAAAAGGCTTCTATTAATATATCCCAAGAGGAATTGCACTTTCTGCAGTTGTATACACATTATAAAATGCCACCCCATTTTCTAGTTGCTTTTGTGTTCCAAACAATTTTCTGCTATATGGCTGCTCATCTTGTGGATCTTTGCCTAGTTTGATTCCCATTTCAGGTCACTGCAGTTCCCCTGGCCCAGTGTGTACAAAGTAGTTCATGCTTGCTTGCTGTAAGGACAGCACCAAGCAAATTGCCCCTTGCCTTAACCCCATACTACAGAACATGACAGAGAGGCAACACGTGGGTGAGATGGGAGTGTATTCCTCAGTGCAGCTTTCTAGTCTTGGTAGCTAGAGACTTCTTGTGAACCCTTTACATAACTCCTTAGAAAAGGGGAAGAACCGAAGTTAAATAAGATGTTCAAATAATAATTTCCTGGGTTTGGGTGTTTCAAGCCTTGTAACATTTTTTTTTAACTCTGTTCCTTTTTTTACAGGTAGATAATGGCAACTATAAAGCTCAGTTTTTTAAGACAAATGATGAGGGTAAAGTCTTAGAAATTTCTGATTTAAAAGCATTTACAAGGTATTCTGTAGTAATCATTGCCTTTACGGGGGATGTTAACGCTGCGCTCCTAGAAGGGAAGGCTAGTTCTCCAGTGATTGTCTCCACCTTTGAAGCAGGTTTGTATTTTTTCCTAAGTTGTATGGAACAAACTGTGCAGTTTTTTCTTTCATTTAACAAATAAATAAGAATTGCGAACACAAGGTGTGCTTTTAATACAGATTTGTCCTCACATATTTTTTTCTTTAATATTTAAAAATATGTCAGTCAACAAAAAAGGGATGGTTATGAATACTAAGATTTACCTTTACTTCTGCAGGGATCCAAACTTAGTGTAAAATTTGGGTGTGTGGAACACAGCCATCTAGGTTACTTCTATAGGCAATGAAGAAAGAGGTTCTATTTTTACAGTAGCATGCATATATAAATACCTGTCTTAAGCAGGATGATTGCCTTGCAGAGGTGGCCATTTCTCTTAAGAGACTGCTGAAAACTCTATACAACATGCTTAGTTTTGGTGCAAAATTGAAACATATAAAAATTAAGTGAAGTGAATCCTACCATTTAAAAATTGTACTTGTACTGACTTGAGGACACAATATGTGTATTCTCAGTGCAAGGAAGTTGCTAGTGAAGGCTCACAGGGATCTGTGCTTGAGACAGCTGTCCCACAGACTCAAAACAGTCTGAAGAATGAGCTAGATATTAAGGTGACAAAAGTTTCTGATGTTATTAAGTTACTCAGAGAAATGAAACAGAGAAGAGAGTAAGGAACTGTATAACGACCTCATGACACTGTGTTACAGAAAAGTAGACAGGACTGGGATTTGCTTAGAAAAATATAAATAGGTGTACATGGAGAAGATGCAGTCCTAACTTTACATTCAAAGCTCATGGTTATGGTCTACAATCTTTGCTGGTTTTAAATAAAAATATTTTCTCAAAAGGTATTAAAGTTTTATTTCATTTAAACTATTTATCAACTGTGTCTCTAGTGAGGTCAGCTGAAGGTCAACTTTTTTAGCTACATACTCAGGTTAATTTCAGATTTAAACATACTACACAGTGATTGTATTTATTATTTATCTTGCCTTTGATGTATGAAAATCCAAGGTCCCTAATCATCAGTCCAAGTCCCATAATCATATGATACGATATGAGTATGTATGTGTATCTCTCCAATGCCTTTAATAAGTAAAATTCTAAGGATTTCATAACCTGTTTATATCCCTGGAAGGTGGTATGGGCTTTACTGTGTAAAAATTAAAGAAGATTAAATTAGGTGCTAACTGGGTCTATCCTGAGACAGACAGTATCCTGTGATATCCTGTTTTGGTAGTCCTTTCTCTTATTTAAATGTGTGATACATTAGGAGGTGCAGTAACCTTAGAGAGGAACATTTTTTTTTTCCATCTCATCCTGTCTCATCTGGTTTGTACAGCCTGGCATATAGCTCAGTTAGGACTGGTTTACACAAACTTACTCTAGAGAAGCCTGAGTAAGCATTTGTTGGTTGATATAAAAAAAATGGAAAGTATGAGAACTGCATCTAAATCCTCGGTTGAATGTGTTGATTTCACTATTTAGAGGTCATGCTACATACTTGTCTGCTCAGGTAGAGCAATAAATATTTAGCTGCCTGAAAAGAATGTTACAGCCTTTTCTTTCAGATAGGGACATTGGGAAAATGATTTATACCTTTGCTGTCTTGAGAATAAGCTACTGGAATAAGCATTTGACAAGAAACTACCACTGGGAAAAATGCATGTTGTGTTGGAGTCTGGGCATCAGCTAGTGGAAAATATTTTCCTAAAGAGTTAGCTGTGATAAGCAGAGACTGTTAGATGGTACAGTGGCTTGTTTATATGTTGGGAGGGAGTTTGCTGTTGACAGAGGGCTTTCAGAAAGGGATACTCACTGACACTTGCTTCTTGCTTGTCAACCCATGCCAGGGTTTGTTTACCCCAGATGTATTTCAAGGTAAAATGATGCCTTCAGGCTTTCTGAATAGGTAATCAGAAGAAATTTTTGAGATTTTTTTAATAAAACCCAGAAAATATCAATGGAATAATACTGATATGCAAAAAAATATGATTTGTAATTTTGCTGGTTTTACTCTAATAGTAATAGTAGTAAACTGATTAAGTGAATCATTGAGATATTTGTTTCAGTGCCTGAAGACCCACCTAACAACATAACTTTTCAGAAGATACCAGATGAAGTAACAAAGTTCCAAGTAACATTTGTGCCACCATCTGAACCAAATGGAAATATCCAAGTGTATCAAGCTGTGGTTTACAATGAAGATGATCCCGCTGCCATCCAGATCCACAACCTTAGTGTCATTGAAACAAAAGATCAGTCAGTCACTGCCATGATAGAAGGACTAAAAGGAGGAAATACCTATAATGTCAGCGTAAGAACGGATAGTTTTGCTTTGGATTTTTTTCCTTTGATATGTGTGAGATTAGTTTGAATAGGGAAAACAAACTTTGGCTGAATATGAGATTTCCATGCCAAGAGTGTTAGCTGGGGAGCAAAGAGAGGCAAGTCTGAGGAATGAGGGAAGCAATGAACAGGGTAGAGTGAGTGGGAGCAGGACACATCCCTAGTGTGGATGACCAGTTCCTGTGCAGTAGCACAGGAATCTGTGACACACTGTCACAAGCACAGGACTAAATCTCTCTTAATCCACTACATGCATTGCTCACTTGGCTCCCCTGAAAGGTCCAATTCTGCAAGAGGAGCTTGCTAAGGAGTATGTGCATGAAGTACTTTCAAATAGTCAGAAACTGGGACATAAGAGGAGGAAATATAAGTGTTTAAGTGGGCTTGTTTTCTCCTTTTCGTAAGAGTTACATTACAAGTGGTGAAGTGTTACTGTTCTTAGGATTGTAAAGTAAGTTCTAGCAAAGTGTGAATGACAAAAGGAGTATTTTGGCATTTATATTTGCTTCAAATATATCCAGAACTGGCCAATATGAAGCTCTTACAAAGAATTATTAAGCAAGTGTTTGCTTTTTTTAAGGTGTATGCAATTAATGGTGCTGGTGCAGGGCCGAAAATTCAATTGAAAATAACCATGGATATCAAAGGTATGTCTCATAAAATACCCTTTATCTGAAATTTCTATAAATGCTGAAGAAATTGCTGAGTATGCAGGTGTGCCTTTGGCTATTATTTAGAAGCCAGATAATGCAGGAACAGGAATGTGTAACTGATAGCCTTGAATTGTAGTGTTCAATTTTGCTGCATATCTACTGATCATTTGCTATTTGTATCTGAACAATACTGTAAAGCATGTGCAGACTCAATGAAGTAACCATATTGAGTTCAATATTTTAATTATCATCAGTGAACAGCTTAGAATATGTCGGAGGAAATGCTAAGTATGCAATTTAACAGTTGTCAAAATAAACAAAGTGAAATTAACTGAAAAAATAAGATGCAGTCTTTTTGTTTTCTCTTTTAATTGAAAACCGATACACATTGGTATTTATCAGAATATAGTTTTTAGAGTCTTAAGATATTAAGTAAAATATTAGGTCATCCCTGAAAACATGCTGGAGATTTTTCATGCATAACACAATGTTCCTGAACAAAGTACCTGTAGTGAAAATATTGTAAAACAGAACTCTGTGGTATATCTTTGTTTAAAAACAGAACCACCAAGACCTAAAATGAAACCAGTACCAGTTTATGATACTAATGGGGCATTACTCGTCACAGCTACAACAATTGCAATCAAAATGCCAATATGTTATTACAGTGATGATCATGGCCCCATCAAGAAAATACAAGTTCTTGTTGTGGAAGCTGGAGGTAGGATTTTATAAGTTCTCTAGAAAACTTTATCAGGTTCAGGCTGTTTGTCTTTTTTATTTATTTTCTTGGGTTTCAGTAGTTTCACTTTGGAAAAGAGCTAACAAAGTCACTTTAGCTATGACAATAGCACCAAGAACAAAGGACCTTTCACAATACCTATGGCCTGGGTACTGGATTTTGGGAGCTCTTGCCAGTGAAGTGTCATCCACGCTCTTTGAAGCCACCAATGTTATTCTGTCCTTACTTTTGTTATTATATTTCTTTATTTTCTATTTTTTTTTAAAAAGGACCCAGTATTAGACATTTGTGAAGGTAAAAAAATCTGAAACCTTTCTCTTTTTGGCAAGGTTATTCTGTCACTATTAGTGTTGCCTGTAAAAGAATGCAGTCATGTGCAGTTGATATTTCCATTTTATAATGTGGGCAGAGGAAGTTATATAAGTCCCTTCTGTAGACTGTGGGTAAGAATGTTTGTTCCCTTGTACGGACTGATGAACTTTTATTCCTATGGACAGTGCTGTGAAACTCTTCTGAGTAATTGCTTACCAGTGTGAGTGGGAGTTTTATGATAGGACATCATATGATCAGGCTAACTTTACCTAAGAAGGACAAATTTTAGGTATTTAATTCCCCTATTTTCCTTGGTTTCAAAATATAGAAGTAAAGCATTCACATTAAGCGAACTTGCATTATGTGTGTCACCTTTTTCTGAATCTTGCATTTTAACACTAGTCCTACTTCATAACTATTGCAGCAAAGATTTTACTGAACTGAGATATGCAAACACCATGCTAAGCAATTATTTTGAAGATTTTTCTCATGAGCTGCTGGGTGTCATCCACTTACGCAAATCTACTAATTTAATTTATGAAACAATCTTTACTGTCTTGAGTAAACACTTTTTACTGTCTCTGCTAGCTAGCCATGCTCAGTTTCAAGGTCAAGTGGATTGCACAAGTAATATCCTCTACAGGCAGAGCTCCTGTGTGAAATTTCCCCTCAAATTTTCCAACTGTTGACCTACTCAGAGATAACAAAACATGTATAGTGGATAGTATAAGAAATTAGTGTTCAAATGCAAACACAGCTATAGACTTAGTTGTGTAAATGGCACCAATAACATGCTAAACTCTTAAAAGAATTATTTTCCTATTTAACTTCTTCAATTACAGTTTGACTGGAATGTAAATTGTATCTATTATTTCTTTTCTTGACAATAGCTCAACATGATGGGAATGTTACTAAGTGGTATGATGCCTACTTCAACAGACCAAGGCCATATTTTACAAATGAAGGCTTTCCAAACCCACCATGTGTAGAAGGAAAAGAAGTTCTGAGTGGGAAAGAAGAGATATATGTCATAGGTGCTGATACTACATGTATGATACCAGATAAAATATGTAATGGCCCACTGAAACCAAGAAAGCAGTACCTGTAAGTACATTTGTCTCAATTTGTCCAAGAGAAGGGTTAAAGTGAATTATAGATTTAGGCAAACACATAAAACATGTTGTTTAATTAGAAAAGGTGCAGATTGAAATAATCGTCATGTGTTTCTAATTTTAAATTTTTTTGGCTGAGCATAAATATGGGAGACAAATTTTTTACAAAATTTTTCAAGCAACAAAAGATGCTTACTGAGTTCTTAAAATATGTAAACCCAAATTCAAGACAAGTATTTCATATAGGGTTTTTTAAGACATTCAGGATATTGACAGTCCATAATGTCTGTCACAATGTCCCTTTTGCAGATGAATAATGATTTCAACTTATATTATACTAAAGCTAAAAATAGTTTTCAGTTTCTAAGTGAAACAATATTTAAGAAAATGCACATAAACTTTTGTTTCATTAGTTTTCTTGCTTTTATTTCACAGATTTAAGTTCAGAGCAACTAACATTAAAGGACAGTTTACAGATTCTGACTATTCTGACCCTATCAAAACATTAGGTAAGGAAAGTGTCATTTACTTAAGTATTTCTCTATTTCCAAGGGTCTAGACAATTCCATTTTTCTTTTTAGTACAGTGGTTTCCATTAAGTAAATGATTTCTATTTTTGTTGGACCTAGCTTGACCAAATTGGCTGAGGAAACATATTTTTTGCCTTGTATATCCTTTTGAGGTTGCCAAGAGATTTTACCTCAGTCTGGACTGTTAAATGAAGAAGCAGTATTGACAAAGTTCATTTGCAGAGATTCAATTATACCAATAAAACCACCACATTGTCAGGATGGTTCATTTTGGTTGTTGAAGCTCTTCCAGAAGTTCTACTGTTTGTGCTGTTTCCTTCTGTGGTGGATGTAGAACTAGTGTTGTACACTTTTACCTGGGTAAAAAAATGGCTGGATGGCTAGGCCCAAAGAATGGTGGTTAAATGGAATTACATCCAGCTGGTGGCTGGTCACTAGAACTGTTCCCCCTGGGCTCAATATTCAGCTAGTCCTGTTTAATGTCTTTATTGATGGTCTGGACTAGGGGGATCAAGGGCACCCTCATTGGGTTTGCAGATTACACCAAGTTGGGCAGGAGCACTGATTGATCTGATGGAGAGTAGGAAGGCTCTGCAGAGGGATCTGGACAGCCTGGATTCATGGTCTGAGACCAATGATATGAGGTTCAACAAGACCGAGTGCTGGGTCCTGCACTTGGGTCACAACAACCCCAGGCAGCACGACAGGCTGGAGGCAGAGTGCCTGGAAAGAGTGCCCAAGACTCTGCCCTGGGCAGAGTGCCCAAGGGAAAAGGGACCTGGAAGTGCTGGTTGACAGCCAGCTGAACATGAGCCAGCATATGCCCTGGTGGCCAAGGCCAAAGGCATCCTGGCCTGTATCAGAAATTGTGTAGCCTACCAGAACCAGGGCAGTGATTGTCCTTCTGTACTCAGCCCTGATGAGGCCACACCGTGAGTGCTGTGTCCAGTTCTGGGCCCCTCACTACAGGAAGGACATTGAGGTGCTAGAGCTTCTCCAGAGGTTCTCCTTCTCCAGAGAAGGGCAACAGAGCTGGTGAAGGGTCTGGAGCACAAGTCTTATGAGGAGCAGCTGAGGGAGGTGGGTTTGTTTAGTTTGGAGAAAAGGAGGCTCAGGGTAGACGTTATTGTTCTCTAGAGCTACTTGAGAGAAGGTTATAGCTACGTAGGGGCTGATCTCTTCTCCCAAGTAACAAGAAATAGGACATGGTTTCAAGTTGTGCCAGGGGAGATTTAGACTGGATATCTGGAAAAATTTCTTCATAGAAGTAGCTGTCAAACATTGGAACAGGCTACCTAGGGAAGTGGTAGAGTCACTATCCCTGCAGGCATTTAAAAGACATGTAGATGTGGCACTTAGGGACATGGTTTAGTGATGGACTTGCTAACTTGTTGAGTTAGCAGTTGGATTCCTAAATTATTCTATAGTTATATTCCAGTGAGCCTAGTGGCAGGTTATCTGAGGACACGACCCTCTAACCCCTTCATCTTTAGATACAGACAAAGCCCCATGTGAATTAATAAATTATTATTGTATAATAGAATCCATCTGGTTCTAATGTCACTGGACAATAGACCAGCTGTTATTTAGTCTGAAATACAACATAATTCCTTCATGGCTGTGTTGATATACCCCCAAAATTGGGAATGATGTCTCTTATAGCAAACTGTAATAAAATCTGTAAGTTCTTCTAATATATTTTCAAGACAAAAACTTAGCTAAGCATTAGCCCGGACTTTCTGAAAATGGATCCCAAGACAACTGGATGAGTACCCAGAAGAATTTTAGTGGGCACATATTTTTTGCTTGGCATTCATCTTCTGTGATATGAGCTCCCTTATTCATCTAATCCATTTTAGAAATTTGTTACATGATCTGCTACTGAAGACCATGAAATGCTAATTCACTACCTCAATATTCTAAAACGATCTAGTCCTATTTCTCTAGCCCTGAATATTTTGGAAAGTGCAACATAAAAGTTGTCTTTATATGTTCTGAGTTTAAAAGTTATTGGTCAATTAAGCTAATATTTTGCCCAGTAAGGGAAAGATAGTGTTCCAGGTAAGGAAAACGAGTTTACTGGACATGAGTCCAGTTCTATCCAGTTCTCTGTGCAACTTTCTCCTCTCTATCAGAAAAGTCTGCAATACCTCGTGGCAAGCAGATATTCTAACTCATTTGCTTATGTATTTTTACTGAAAATTTGTGACACTTTCTATTTTGTAGATGATAAATAAGCACCATCTGTTTGTATGCTGAATAAAATGTAATAGGAAAACAAAACAATGCAAAACAAAACAAGGAATACATTCCTCAGATATCCATGGCTCCTCATACACATCCAATGCCTTCTGTGCTAAACTTTAACATCAAGCAATACTTTTTAAGGCCAGACTACAGCATCCTCACCCATACAACAAGAAACAAAACTTACATAGAATAGATAATTAAAAGTTCTTTAAATGTTTTTTTACAAGTTCTGTGAAATCAGCTTCAAACTGGTATACCACAAGTGATGGAGGTACTACACTTAAGTGATCTTAAGGATGCAGCACAGGCAATGCCATTACCAATGTCATCTTAATTGAATAAGGAAAATAGATTTTTTTCAGACACATTATCTCTGGAGACACATAACATAAGGAACCTTGCCCAAGTGTTTTCTTCCAGAACACCTTTAATTATGTGAACTTTGAGCTTGTTCTAGAGGCCTAATTCAGAAAACATGCAAGAAAGATCAGTAGCTTTTAGATATCTCTGTGACCCAATTGCTTACATTACACTCATAGCATCAGCTTCTTTCCATGAGAAGTTTGTGGTTCCTGAAATCAGATTTGCTATTTTATTTTAAATCAATTAACTTCTTTCATAATAATCACTGAAATTTGTGGTTTTCCAACATTACAGTTTCACTTTAGTAGATAAAACACTAATTTAAATTTTGGCAGAGGTATTCACAACAGTTCAAGGTATCCTACATTATTTTGGTTTCTAAATCTATCAATAGAATAGATAGGTCTTTGATCTGGAAAAACAGAAAGCTAACCTTGTATAATTTGCAGCAGAAAAAAATATGGAAACCTTGAGAGATTTCTCTGTGACAGATGTCAGATGTGCTTGTTAAACAACAGGAATTTTGCTAGGAAAGAACACTGAAGCAGAAATTATTAGAATATACAGCTGCAATAATTTTTTTTTTAATTATAGCAAAAGATACACTTTAATAAGGTGCATCCACTCAACCATACTCGAAGTACCACAACCCTCCTCTTAAGCTGGAGAGGTGGAGTTTCTTCTTCATAATCCATGACTGACATTGCAAAAATAATGTCCATACTACAAGGAAAGGTCAGGATTTTTCCATGAGATAATTAAGATGTGGTGATAAATTCTGTTTAAACTTCTAATACATCAAGGCAGATTATAACCTTTTTGTAAACTCTGATAGTTTGTTCAGCAAATCATTGCGAGGCAACTGGTAAGTTGTGTAAGTGTACTTTTCCCATGTGAAACATAAAACTGATGGGATAAAAAATAATCAAAATGGGATTTCCTGACATTGCCTTTGGCATAGAAATTGACAATATATTCTATTATTGCACTTTGTTATCATCGTGCATTGTGTGCAGCAGCTCAGAATTATATAACGTGGTATTTTCTGTGTTGTCTCCTTCCCTTGCCCGTGATCATCTCTATAGGCATGTCTACACAGACAAGTGTAGTCCTTCCCTAGTGCAAAGAAGTAGGAAAAAATGTGAGATTTTTATTCTTGGTGGATATTCTGCCAGCACTGTTTTGGTTAATAACATTGGTATTGTTTGAACTGATGTTAATTGTAGGACTTAACGCAGACTTCACTGTTCACTGCAAAATAGATAGAACCATTGTAGAGGTTCCTCTGTATATTCTTCTGTCCTTCTTCCACATTTCTAACATTTTTACCTCATCACAGTAATAAGCGAGTGGCATGGACTTTTTCATTCATTTTGTCATTGAAACTTTTCTGTATATACTTGTTTTCTATTCTTTTGTCTTTCTCTGGCCTAAATTTTTCTTACCTTGTAGTGTCTAGTGTTGCATCTAAAACTTTGTTAATGCAGTGGAAGAATTATTTCAGGTGTTTTGTAAACTCTATTGAATTCTGTTGCCTGTCATTTCATACAGGTGTGATATTTCTTATCCATGTTAGTTTTGGTCTACACTAATCCCATATTTTTTTTTGATAAATATCTACCTAACCAACTGTTTACTATGCTGTATTATTGTAGCTGATTATTCCTACCTACATATAGAACCATGCACTTCATCTTACAAAATTGCATCGTACTGTTTTAAGATTATTTCTTCAGATAAATCAGGATCATTTTGAATTTGAATTATGTTCTCCCATGGACATCAGTCCAGATCATCTGCCACGTATTCTCTAATCCAAAAACAGAACCTTTTGAGAGAAACAAAGCCAGGACTACAGTGTTTTCCAATGTGCCCTTGGGAGAATGTTATCTTTTGAGTGGGAAATCTCAGTTTCATATGGCAGGAAGCAGTACATTTTCTCCCCCTTCTTGTGGCTAAACAGGAGCTAGGTTTTCTACAGTGGATCATCAATGAAGGTGAATGTCAACATAGGTGAACAATACCAGCAGCAGGATTCTCTTGCTTTACTTATTTTCACTGTTGCCCAAGGGAAAAAGAGGATGAGGGTGTTTTTCAGATAGGTACTGGATTACCAGGAAGGGTGGGAAATAAAATGAGTCTCAGAAATTTAACACTAAAGAGGTTCAAAAAAAGGCCTAGAAACTTCGATCTAAGTAGTTTATCAGTTTCTGAATGAATTTTCATTCTCACCTGGAAGGACTGATGATTATCAAAGAGGTCTTTATGCTTACTTTTGACCTACTGGTGGTTATTCCTGACAATATCACCAATTCACATAAACTAGGAGCATGAGTTAATGGTCATTGAGGTAGATTAATCCAAGAAGTTCCAATCTGGTCACTAGTGGGGTTCTTTCAGCACCCTTAGAATATCTCTAAAAATAGCATCTTCTTTTTGTACTTTTCAGTGGAAGCAAGTCTCATAGCTTTAGAATTGTGCTCTGCCTTTTCCACTTGAGGAGTTTGAGTAGTCCTCCTCTGTTCTTGGCTGCACAGAGACTGAAGCAAGAGCTTAGGTCAGGCCAAGGTGTTGAGCAGGTAAAACTGAAAAGCACCATGGGATGGCTACACATCTAGCCATGTATTATTAACATTATATATTACACAGATCAGCAATGCTCAGGAACCTCTACATAAATTGTTTCTGGTTTTATTATATTTTTCCTTCTGAACCACCTCTTCAGCCACCACAAAACAGATACAGTTACATAGAGACAAAAAGAGTTTGTCTTTCATCATTCCCTTATTTCACACTGTCAGAAATGAAAAAATTCTAAAGAATCTATGAAATACTAGCTTTCCACTTTCTGTTGCAGGTGAAGGACTAACTGGAAGATCTGTAGAAGTTATCCTTGCTGTTACTCTGTGTATACTTTCAATTGTTCTTTTGGTGGCTGCAGCATATGCTTTTGCAAGGTGAGATTTATGTATCCTTGCCATAGTGTGTTTGAAAACACTCAGAAATGTTTTAAAGAAGAGTTGAAATGGTCTTAGAAATGGAACAATTCTGTCATTTCAAGATGTGTTGGTTTTTGGTTGGGGTTTTTTTGTCTTTTATGTAGAAACTTAAGGAGGGACACACAGACTAGAGAGGATAACCTCCACAGATGAAGAAAACCCAACTTGTCCATAGGGCAAATCAGTGGTAGCCTACCTTAAATTTCCAAAGCCACTTCTCTATTGGCAGATCAGAGTGTCAGCCAGTTGCAGTTATCATGATGACTATTTATAGCTGGATATGAAGTAAATATTCTAAATTCTATTTTCTGTCTTGCTAATAAATTTATCACTGATATACACTGAGGTAGCATACATGAAAGAGAAATTGAGTTCTAATTCAAATTGTGAACAGAATCTCCATGTAAAGAAGCAGGCTGGGCACTGCACCCACAATGTTAGTTTGCTCATTCATTCATCATTTATGTTCTTGCTCAGCTGCATTATTCAGACAACTCCAAAGAATTTATGTTGGAAAACTAAAAGAATATAGCAGCTAGATTTTTTTGTCTGAATTTTAGGCAATGTAACTGCAGTTACGTTTGTTGACTAAATTAAACTGTTGGACAGAAGAGACTAAAGCCCAATGAAGGATTCTCGGCAACCATTTTTCAGTTTCAGCCTGTCAAATCAAAGTATTTGACATATGTGTCATTAAGTCTTTTGCATGTTTATTTTTCACTTTATTTTCTGTTTAGAATTCGGCAAAAGCAAAAAGAGGGAGGCACATACTCCCCACGAGATGCTGAAATTATTGACACTAAGTTCAAACTGGATCAGCTGATCACAGTGGCAGACCTGGAGCTGAAGGATGAGAGATTTACACGGTAAGCATACTCCTTAGGCAAAACAGTAGTCCAAAGGGTCTGTAGCCATGACCCCTTTCTGACCTTTGCTTGTTTAGAAGTGTTTGTGCTGTTCTTACTTACACAGGTCACTGAGATCCTTTTTCAAAGAATGACCTCCATCCTCAAGACACTTCTCACTAGCTTTTAGAAAATCACTTAATCTTAAGCTCTTTTTAAACAAGATAAAGATCTAAGTGCAAATCACTGTTTAATTGTGTTAGCCAAAAAAGGGTTACATATTTTTAAACATGCAGGATTTCTGAGGTTTTAATGGCACAGTATTTCTGTAGACTGAAAATGTACATAAGTATTTTGAAAGAGCCAAACTCCCAGAAATCGCTGTCAACTAGTTCGAGAACAAGTCAACTAATTCATTAACAAATCTGTCATTGCTTAATTGACATTCCAAAAGCTTTCTTTTTTTTTTAACCAAGGAATTTGCATAACATCTGGGTTTCTGTGGAGCTCAGCGTACTGGCTATCCTAACATCTACTCCTGTAAGGTGCACTCAGCAATTCCAGGCTTTTCGTATTTTCTATCTGACAAGGAATCTTATTACAGATATTTATCAGAAGGAAAACCACTCTTTTTGACTGCCAGAAATAGGATATTATTCACCAAATAAATATAACTATTAGTCTTAATTATATAAGACATCCAACTGAGTCAGAAATATTTGGTGAACATTCCTCACCTGCCACTATTTTCCCTGCTGTGTCACAGATGAAACACTGTGGTAGGCAGTCTTCTTAAAGATGAGAAGCTTAAAATAGTCTTGCCCTAGAAGTCAAACATCCTATTGTTACAGGTTAGGAATAGCTGGAAGATGAAAGGTTGTTAGTTGTTGACCTGGGCTTTTTGTGTATGTCTATGTGTGTGGTACAGAGTAAGATCCATGTACAAACCTATCCAGAATAGAGCACACAAGAATGGCTGCTTGTGACAGATGAGAAAACATACTGTGAATCATCTGGAAATCACTGATGTAATGGATGTGATGTGTTGTGTGTGGGACACTTATTGTTCAGATAGCATTGTTTAGTACCTGCTAGTAACAGTGGAAAGCATCCTCTGAAGACAGAACCATAGCCAATGCACTGTGATAACTGTGACTCATTTAAATGATCTTGATGGATCTTCAGTATTACCTTGCTTCCAAACTGTTAGTTGAATAAGAATAGTATTAATTTTTTTTATATACTAAAGTTTTAATGGATTTTACTTCCAGATACTCTTCATTTTTCTTTAGACGCAAGGAGATATTTGTCATCCAGTAAGTTTTTGTATTATTGAAGCAACATGGTGTGTTTTCCATTCTGTTCTCTTCACCTGTGTGTTCCTGTACTATATTGAGCAATATAGTTAATCAAAATGAAATGTCAGTCTTTGCAGACATACTAATGACAAAAATTGTATTTATCATCATGAAATCATATCTATTTTTAGTACCTAACTTTAAGTTATAACAGTTCCACAACTATTTTACATGGAAATTATAACACATTATGGCAATTTAGTCCTGAGATATACAACCTATCCTTGAAACAAAGGTAGTGCAAATGCGACATAAGAAATATACTGTTACTTTCCTTTGGCAGTTAGAATGTATATATTTAAGATAAATTCTTTTTTTTTTCTTAACTGCCTTTTGTACTCACATTGAAGGAGTTTCATGCTATATCCCTACCATCTCAGCAACATATCCCCACAGTCAAATCTTTTATCAGTTTTCAGATACTATTCTGCCACTTCTAAATTATGTGTATTTTAGACTTGTAGAGTCTCAAACTCTCCAGGGTAATTGCAAACTATATTGTTTCATACTTATGTAAACTTCGTTATGTGATCTAGTCACAGCAAGGCCTTTACTGAACTGTGCTTCAGCAGTTTTAGTTACATCACCCTTATTTTAATGAGTCAGTCTCACATCTTGGTTTGCAATTTGTCATGTTGTTCCATCTGTATTTTTCTCTTTTCTCCTTCCACCCCTTCTTTAATGGTCAAAAGCAAAGACTCTATTTCTGACACTGGAAGGCACAAGATGCACCTGTTAAAATTTTTGATTAGTTTTTGAACAGTAGTGGCACTGAAGCTACAGTGGCCTCTTTGCTCATGTCTCTTGTTCAGCATTAGGACAAATTGTTGAAGTTTGAAGTGCAGGCACTGATTGAGAGTTCCTCAGGATAGAATTCAGGACATCTTTTTAACTGGAAGACAGAAAATGTACTGTGGGACCCTACTACATAACATACACATAGTAATGAGGGGCAGGATGTCCTTTACCGGATCAAAATTTTTAGTTTATTATGGGTTTTTTTCTTTTTTAAGCTTCAAAGAATGTTTCAATATCTGTAATATTCTGTTCTCATAATGCCAGTGACCAAAAGAGACATTTTAGGTGTCCTTTCTGGTAATATCCAGGAGCTGGCAGAAGCATGGCAGCATGCGCCAAGGCATTTTACTGCAACACCTAATGTCTAAAATATTTTTGCTACCTGTTTTCAAACTTCCACAGTTGCATCATGAAAGAGCTTTCATACTTGCTCCCCTTGGGGAACAGTCATGTTGAATTCAATCCCAGCCCCAGTTCTGGTGTTGACTCTATAATGTCATGATTTGTTGTTAAAGCAGTGACGTTAGCATGTTAAATTATTGTATTACATGCTGATGACTACAGTGTAACCTTTACAAATTTCCTATGCATTTGGAATGGGCATGACTGCATCTGCACAACCTACTGCCATGCACTGACTGGATTTAGGCTGGTATCTCAGCTGTGTTTTCAAAGCTTAGTGTGTTTCAGTTTATGGTATCCTGTAAGTGTATGAGGAAAGCATAGATGGGCAGACTCATTTTCCAGACTGTCATGTTTGTATTTCTTGGATAACAGTAAATCAGCTGAAATCTTATCCAGCTTTCTACTCTGAAAAAGTAATGGGGAGTTTGTGTGAAAATCTTAGGTGATAAAAGAACAGTATAGATTTTTTTTCTCTACCTACTCATCACCCCATTCAATGGTGATTTGAAGGGGATGTTTTTGAAACCACATGTTTTTTCATTTCTCAGACAGTATATTATTTATCATGGTAGTGACTATAAATCAATAAAGGTATGCACTTGCAGCTGACACTGTTCATCCACATCAAAATACTCTAGCCTGCTCCCCAAGATCCTTCTTGACTATCTCTTTAGACACTCTTTCATACTTAGTGAATCATGGCCTATGATCCTGGCTCATATCAGAAAATTTGTGCAGCTGGTATCACACAAGAAATGAAAAGGAGTAGAAAAGGTTTTTCTGTTCCGTATGAATATAGTTGGAAACATTTTTTATCATTACTAGATCAAAAATTTGACAGCTTGAAGCTTAGCAAATGTTCAGTATAGGTTAATCAAAACACTATGTTTCAAACATTTTTATAACTTTTTTCATATTAAATATTTTGCATTACAAAAGTAATTTTAAGTAGAAAAAGACAAATTTAAAAGTGCTAAGTCTCCCATTTGACAATTTTGAAACTTTTTTGGGGGTAACATTTTTTTTTCAGACCATGAAATTAATGGAAAATCCCAGTCCCCAGTAGAAATCTTTTAACAGAATGGTCATAATAAAAAAATTTACTTGAAAAACTTCAGTGTCTAAAATTACTAATACTAGCAAGTACATATACAATGTCTCTCAATAAGTCTTTGTTAGGCAATTAATTAATTGGATGGAGTTTCAGAGGACATGCAGGGAATCAGGTTCTACTGAGTTCAGTGGAAAATGAGATCTTCCTGATGAATCCAAAACGAGTGTTTGGGACATACGGTACTCTTCATGGTAGTGGAGATGGTGTGAGACAGGCAATAACAGAAAAAACCTTGTTTAAAACATATACAGCCCATCAATCTAAACTTTGTTTCATTAAGCACACTGAATATACATATACTGGGCGCCCTCATTACTTAACTTTTAAAACATGTCCATAGGGTTTGCTAAGTCACTTTTCAAAGCAGAAACTAATCTTCTGTGAATAGATTCTGTCACTAAATTTTCAGGGTGCACCAGGTTTGGGGAGAGACAAGTAACTCTTCCCAGTTCCAGGTGCTCACCTAGGAGACAACCTACCTGTCACACTCCTTTTGCAGTGGTTTCTGCAGCAAGATAAAGCTATGCAGATCTCTGTTTCCTAAAATCTTTCCTTGAGAAGTTACACCTTTTAGTTGATCCTGTATGGCTTTTGTTTCACTCTGAGACAGCTTGTCAAACAAATGGGGCACAGACTCAGAAGAAAATTATCTGCATTACAGACACCATAGCCATTGCAAATACCAGGTAACTAGAAATCCATTAGAAAAAGTACTGTATAAAAAATGATTGTCTGATCTCACCCTCCCTATATACTATACATCTGGTAGGTGTCTGTATTTGAGGTAACAATTTTGCACACACATTACCTTCTATAGACCAGCCTGTTTCTTTCTGTGGACAGACCTATCTTCCTTTGAGTGGGGATAGGCATGGTATAATGGAAGAAATGTCCATGTGTTCTCTTTCCTTAGGCCCTTAATATTTAGGAAGGGTTAAGCTCCATATTGCTTTCAATTAACTTGTTAAAAATTAGTTCCTCCCTTGGTCCTAGGAAGTGTCAATGGTGCTTATGAGTTAAGCCTTTTGCCTACATAGTCATTTCTGTCGTTTTCTATTTGGACAAAGTTTTAATTCCCTGTGGATTTCAGATGATTGACCCAGAAAGAAAGCAGAGTCTGTGTGGCAATATGGTCTTCAGTTACCACTGCCAACACAAATAAATGCCTTCTTTCTAGCTCTATCATAAGTAATCTGAGTGGGATTCAGATTTTTGATAGACTTCAAAAAAATCCCACACATGAAACAATACACTGTTTTAAAAGAAAATCAGATTTAAGGCAATAAAGCATTCTTTATCTGAGAGAATGTTTTTCTTTCCTAGTTTCAAAGTCAGACAAGTGGGAATCTGAAATGGTCCAACTGAAATAGGGAAATTTTCAACTTTGTGGTTTGATTCTAAACTGTGCTCATCAAGATCTAGTGATATTTATATTCTTATATTTTATACAAAAGACTGGGAAATGTGGAGGACAAAATTATAGGTAGATGAGTATTTGTTAATTGTTGAAACACTGCAAGATTATTATTACATATTCCAAGTCAAGAGATGTGGAAAGATACTAATTTTTTAAGCCTAAACATGCTGGAACTTAGCACAGGTGGAGGTTTTTAAAGAGAACACAAAATTCATCCTTTCTGAAGATCCTTGCACAACAAGGCAAACACCTTTACCAGAGTTATTCAAGAAAGACATGAATTTTCATATAAGCATTTAAAGCAAATAATCTTATTTTCTGAGCTGCCAAGCCACAGTTATGTGCACTTGCTACTAACAAAAGTTTCAAAAGTCAAGTTGTTCACTTAAATGCCCACAGACAAGTTAGTGTCAATCTGCAGATGCCTTGCTTCTTAAAAAAAGGTATACTGATTGTAAAAGATGACATATTATTATGCCTTTAAAAAGTAGCCTGTTATTAATATTAATAATTGACTAGAAAGCAACACATGCAACACTGATTTCCTAAGCTATTTCATTGCTTTTCTTTCCTACTTTGAGTGCAATTGAAAAAAAGGAAATATTACTGAGTAAGGTGGTGTTAATGGTGCTGTCTCTCTTCTATGGTCTTTGCTGTTGGATCCATGTACCTTCCATACTGAAGCATTAATAACATACCTGTATTACTCATATACAGCACAGAAGTAATTTTTATTCCCTAATGACCAAATTGTATGTTTTTTACTGCAAATTATGTGCAATAAGCCACTAGTTGCTGTGAATTTGAGAGGAGAGCTATCAGTATTTGAAAAATTAGTACAATGTCAACTAGGACACGATTTTTTTTTCCATTGTTCAGTAGTGAAGATAGGTAAATTCAAAGGAAAAACAAGTGTAATTTCTCTGCAAAGACTGATTATAATTTTATCCTGAAAAAAGCCTAAAAAAAGTTTATGTTCTACTCAAAGACAAATATATTTGTGTGCAGTACATTGCTGCACATGCTATTAAGTACATGGCACAGGTATTAGGAATACTATTTTATTAGGAAACTAATTCTGTTATGTTGCCAATATTACTGGAAGGTAGTTTCATCTGCCACATAATGCAAACAACATAAGTGATACAATAAGCACAAACTATATGTCTTAACTTTCTAAATTAATAGAGTTGCAAGCTCTGCTATCTTACTACTTTCTTTTTCATTCTGAAGCTCTAATTGTCCTGTAAGCGCTCTGAGTTAGACCCCTTTTCTGTGAATACTTACACTTTTAACTCCAGTGAGACTGACCCAGTGAAGCTTTCATTGCCATTTGCTTTGTCTGAAGAAAACTGTTGTAACAAAGTATGTATCACAAAGGCATCTTTAGTAGCTTTGAAACTGACTTCTCTGATGCTTAATAATAAATGATTCAATAATTGTATTAATATCATGATTCTTCAGTTGTATTAATCTCATTTTATTACCTAAATTAAAATTTAAATAATAAAGAATAAGTTCATAAACCAACTTATTTTTAAAGCAGTTTCTTCTTTTCCATTAAAATTATGACAGCAGTACAGTAGGCATTTGGATTTGTATTATAGAATACTTTCTGTAATATTTGTCTGTAAGAATGTATGATTTTTGTAGAGACAGACACATAAAAGGTGTACTTACAGGTTTTTTTGAAGGGGCAAATTATGTTTTAAAGTGTATTACTTCAAACTTTTAGGCTTTAGACAACCTTTGTCAAGTCTAAATGCCCAAAATTTGGTTTCTAAATCCGTAATGCTGAGACTTTTTAAATGGTTTCAGAGGCAATGTTGACCAAGTTTCAAGGCCATCTAAAAGTCCCCTGAGTATAGATGCTCATGTAATATCTTCATGAAACCTGCTGTGGAATCAAGTTAAAGATTTAATATGTATCACAGTTTTTAAAATTGTCACCCATGGAAACAGCAGTGAACATGTTAAAAGTGAACACGAAACCAGGACACTATTTTTAAAAATCTTTAGAAAAACAACCATATCTGTGGTTTCTGTAGAGCCACACCAATAGTATGCTTCATCTGTGACTTATTTTAGATATCTGCCTAAAATGAGATTAAAACACACCTATTTATCTTCACTGATTATAAAAGAAATCTAGAGTGACTAACTCAAAAATATGTACCTGTGTTCAGTCACATTAATTGTATCTTTATGCTCTGAAATGACCCTTAGAAGAATGATATTTGGTACGTAGTGTAAAATGAAGCCTATCCATGTATAAAAAATGTTGTGCTGCAAGTGTGGATTTCCCAAGTCCATATGAGCCCAGAGTACTGTAAAATGATCTGAAGAAAATGATAGAAACTGCAACTACCTTATTGATATCTGCCAACACCTGAGATAAAAACTAAGCAAGACCATTAGCCAAGATATCTGAATTTGAATCCATAGGAGAAACACATCTGGTTCTTTAGTTACTTGGTATTTAATCTAGAACCTATTAACATGTACAATATTGGTTAACTCAGTCTGCTACATTTAACAAAAATCTCTGTTGCAGGTTACTTAGTTATAGAAAATCCATCAAGTAAGTTTAATACAAATTTTTAAGTTGTGTTCATCGGTGAGTCTCAATGTGTGGTTCCCTCTTCTATGTTTATTAGAAAAAAACTCCAAGCTGCGTATAAATCATAAAAGCATGACTAATTGCATGGTAACTGGAGAAATGCGTTCTCTCTCTCTGGGGTGAAGCCTGCATGTCTGTGTTTTAGCTTGGGAAGTAATACAGGGATATTTAAACTCCTCACGATTTAAAAACCATGTCATTATGAGAATGAGGTCACTGCAATATTTTATAACTCTAAAACCTGGCAATGTATAAAATGTTTTCTGTGCAACAAAGACTTATGTACTTTAGAATGCAATGATAACTTTACAAATTTACTTTAAATGTCAAAGCATTGACATGCTGTTACCTATAAAAAGTCATATACTACAGTGCTGTAAGCATTAGCAACATAAAAAATTTTGTGAGGGGAAACAACAAGGGGAGAAAATGGTTCTATTTTAAGTGACTGAAAGGAAGTCAAATAAACATGCTGTAAGCAATTTATAATTTTCTGCCTGTAAGTATCAGTTTCTATTGAACTAAGAAACCTTGTTTATTAATAAACTGCAGTTAATAAAAAGAAGAACAAAGACATTCCCTATGGGTTTCTAAATCTTCTGTCATTACTTTCAGGCCAATAAGCAAGAAATCCTTTCTACAGCATGTTGAGGAGCTTTGTACAAACAACAACCTAAAGTTTCAGGAAGAATTTTCGGTATGTTGCTAGCAGTTGTCACAACATCGCAAGACCTTCAGTCGTTTCATGTGTCACATTTCATGTCCATTTTAAGCAGACAAGGCCGTGAAGGACTCTGGCCTTGATAATCAATACCCAATTACCAGGTTGATTGTTTAGAAAGTAATATTACACTGATTTGAATTCTGCAGTCTATACTGCAACCTTGTCAGAATTATTCACCTTAGTGTCAGCAAAAGATGATCTTTAGACTCCAACCTTGGCAAGAACACCATATTTATGCTTTTACATGTATAGTGATGCATATATAGTTTACCTAAGAACAGATTATTCAGAGTTTCTAACATATGTACAGGTATATTTAGCTGCTATAAATATGTTCGTCTTCCTGAGTGATGGTGACTCCAAAAACACAGTTAGTGTTTATTCTGTGAAATTTTCAGGCCTCAGTCATACTGCCATGAAACTCAGAAATGTTTTTCTTTCATAGATTTCAGTGCAGAAAGTAAAAAGTTTGTTCATGATTGTTTGCTTTTTGTTCCTCTACAAATAATGTCATCCTTGTTATGCTCTGAAAAGAGCTTCTGTGAGAATAGCCTCCATTTCCTTGTATGAGTAGACGAACACAGCAAGGCTGTCTTTCTTTCTGAAAAGAGTCTTGGTTTCAAAATATATATTACAGATAATGTAATGCATATAGAGTTTCAAATTTATGCCTCAAAGTTTTCACTGTTTTCATTAAGTCATGTTTTACATGTTTTTCAACCAATATCTTCTTTTCTTGTTATTTCAGAATCTTTATCATCATTATGTTTTTAACAGATACAGTCATTTGCCCTCCTCAAAATAATTTGTCAGTTTTCAGTGAGTTTATTATTTTGGATTTATAAATTTATCATGAATTGCTTACCATTTTTATTAACAAAAATGAAGGCTTAACAACTGGCTTTTCTTCTGCTCGATTATAATATTTCAGTTTACGAGGGAACACTTACAAAAGTGTGTAAAGATTAATGGTGTTTTCTACAGCTTTTTTGTTATGCTCATTAGGTAAAATTGGTCTGGATTTAATAATAAAATCACCATAAAATTCTCTGAGCAAGGAAGTAAGAACTTTTTTTCTGAAAGCAGAAGTGTTATTTCACTTGAATAAGAATGATTATAGTTACATTATGCATGACTGAACAGATGAAAGGTTTTACTAGCAATAGCGTTTTCACATATTAACGTTCATTACTGGAAAGTTTCTAGTATTACTTTCTTTAGGTGAGACCCACATTGGGTAAGCCTCACAGCATTTGTAATGCCTTAAATCTTAAACAATAGTGTTTTTATGAAATCAAAATCTTTGCATTCCATTTAAAATTTAGAGAAATATAAGAAACTGAGGCCTCATTCAACTAAGTTATATAGTCAACTTACAGTAAATGGGTTTATATACCATTTAGACTTCCAGTAGTTTTTCTCTCTGAGCTTCAGCTTCCATATTTCAGAGTGTAGTGAAATCTTCCCAGATGACTAGTCCAAGGGCAGGCAGAATTTCAAGGTGGGTTCAGTCCCTGATTCAGAATGTATTTATAGTATTTGTAGCGTGTCTTAACATATGAATAATAGGATTGACAGTGCACTTGAAATAACATCAGAAATGACAATGCTCAGAAACAGGCAATGCATACAACAAACAATCAGACCTCAGGATTTGCATTGTTTCTATTCACAAAAAACATAGTTTAGAATTTTCAAGCATAAATGTGGCTCTTTCCATTTCACTCAGTCTTGGAGTCCAGGGACATTTCTGGTTTCATCTAATTTGATGGACTGACCAAGCTGCTGTACCAGAAGATCTCGGTTACATGGGAACAGGACATTTCCGTAAACATGATGAGAAGAGAATCAAGACCTCAGAATGGATCTGGGTCCATGCCTTGTCAGATAAGACAGGCTTAAAGAAACCATAGGGAGCCAAAGTAATTGATGATGGGCACCACCCAGCTGCTATTCAAACCTCCAGCTTTCCATCTGATTCATGTGGCTCTCAATACCTTTGCGAAATTAATCCTTTCTGGTAACTGGCAAATTACTGAAACATAAATGCTTATAAAATTGTTCTATGATGAGTTCTGTTCATGAATAAAAAAAGTGCAATACCTCCAAATACATGACACCAGAGTGCCACAGAAGTACTACAGTAAACAAAATGCAAATTAATTATTTCAAAGTTTTCTGAGTCTGCAAAGAAATATGGTTTCTGTGAGAAGTTGTTATTGAATCTGGAAATCCAAACAGTCTTTCCTCTATTCTGAAAGTAGTAATTTAGACTGAAATTCATATTGATGCAGAGAATTGGCATGAGGCATTTGAGCTCTGGTTCAGATATGAAAGTATCATTATGAAAATAACATAATCTGCTTCTCTATTTCCTCTCTACTACAAAATCCTGTCCAGTGATGCTACTGCTATACTAATTAACTAGAAAACTAGGACTTGGAGGAGTGAGGCAAATGAGGCTAGAGTTCACATGATACGGGATTCCATGGCCTAAAACACCTGCAAAATGCCATTGTCATTTTGTGTATGTCCTTCTTTTGTGCAAAATTCAATGAGAAAAATTTTATGTAAGAGTTCTGCTTTCTGAATAAGAGGAATTTTAACATCTCCACCCTTAGCTGTGTTTTACAGATAAGGCTGACAAAATATTTGAATTAACAATGAAAGAAAAACACCAGAATAAAACTCTCCTGGTTTTCCATTTTTCACTACCTCTCTCATTTATTTATTTGCTAATAGTTTATTTACTAGTAATTTTTTTTTTTATAAAACACAAACTGTCTCCAACACCTGAGCAAAAAACCACTTGAAAATGATTAACATCGAACCTGATAGTAATGTTCTCTGCCCCACTTTTGGAAGAAGCCCATACCAAGAGTAACCTCTAATATTAGAAGACAAATTTGAAAGGGATTTTGAAGCGATTACATAACACAAGTAGTGAAATTTTCTATTGTGCTCATTCAAAGCAATCTTCTCCAAATCCAGTTTCTTAATTTATATCTTAGGTGGATGTTGAAACAGGCTTCCATTTAACATTTGTCAAACAAAGGGAAAAATGTATTGCAGGTAATTACGTATTTGAAATTCTGACTTTTCTGAGTTTTCTATTCTCCTAGCACTGCTATGAGATCATCACATCAATGAAGTTTCTCCATTAACAAGTTATGAAGTTGTCTCCACTATTTTAATCAATTTGGGAAATTATACCTATTTATGCTCACAGAGGTACCCATCAAAGAGTTCGTCAATATGAATGATTTATCCTTCTCCAGCCTTCCAAATAGAACTAATCACCAGTGATGAAAATGCAGTACAACCCAACCTAACTCTTCCCATCCCTATTGCAAACAGTTCTATGAACAATAGCTAATTGCCAGTTGTCTCAAGTTAATTAAATTCTCATTAGTTCTCATGCTGTGGCAAGAACTGTCCCAAGCATAGGAGTCAGGAAAAGGCATTATTTAGGACTAAAGTTGAGTCAGTAGGGCAATGTGACCAAGCATGTGACTTCATGAAAAAAAACAGAAAGTAACTACAAAAGGTGATAGACTGACTTTATCCAGGCTTGTAAAGGTGAAAGTTCATGTAAGCTTTAATTGTTCAACTTGACAGCATTGTCTGCAGTGCTGCATCTAACATTGCTGGTGTAACTGGTGTTGACAATGAAGGCTCTGTAATGCTTCCAGCTGTTCTTAGAAAAGCACTGTGTTGCAGAACTATGGAATTTTTCCTCTTACTGGATGATTGTGTCATATTTTAAATTCACTTAAGTGTAAAGGTTTTCCAACAAATATTTATTCCTCTGCAGGAACTTCCCAAGTTTCTTGAAGACCTTGCTTCAACTGATGCTGATCTGCCTTGGAACAGGTCTAAGAATCGTTTCCCAAACATAAAGCCATGTATGTGAGTCTACTGATCAACTTCCCCATTTTGCTCTTTACTTTCAATAGTGCAGCATATATTTGGAATGCAAGTGTATTTTTGTTTGATCTGCTGTTGAACTGGCAGTTCAATCACATCCACATTATGAAATACTTTTCTGTCAAGTAATCTGTCTTTTCTTTGTGTTTTTTAAAGACAGTTTTATTTGCAAGTAGCTTTCAACTTGCTCTCACAAGCTTTAATATGCAGGTGCAAGAAACTGTAGCCTCAATAGTTTCTTAGCTTTGTAATTTAAGCCATGTAGCAAACTTTCTACCATTCTTGCTCGTTGGATTTTTTCCCCTTTAGTAAGAAGTAATTTTTTTAAACATATAAAATCCACATGTTTGTGCATTTAGCCACCTCAGGGGCCTGGCTATGCTTTCTTGTGGATATGTGTACATGTGCTACAAAGGTTCCACAGAAGATCAGAGTGACTGTATGATAACTTATAAGCCCAGGCTAGATATTATCACAGGAGACAGGAGTCTGTCTCTTTATACTCAACACTGCTTCATTTTTCAGTTAATAAGACAAGAAATGTCATTATTATTTTAGGCATTAGCTGTGATGTGAGATGGAGTGCATGGCATTCCTTGGTTAATAATGCTACATTCTGTGCTATTAACTTTTCAGAGCAGCTGTTCTTGCTATCTACTGCCTTGTTCAAGACATACTCTAAGTTACAGTCACTAAAAATTTATATTTATAATACACAATGAAATATAAACAGACAAGATTCATAAACCTTTATCTTCATATTCTAATTAGTTATTAACTAAGTTGAGGATCAAACATGAAAATTTTGGTATTTCATATATGAAATGTTTCTGCTTATGTACCATGGGACAAAATCAGAAACCCTCAGGGTTTTTTTCTTAATAACAAATTTACCTTATGTAAAATAAGTAAAACTATGTAAAAATGCCAGGATCTGGCTCAAATCTGTAACCTGGGCAGCAAGTACATAGGAAAAACTGCCAGATGCCTGCCCCTGCTGTCTGATCCACACAGAGGTTGTGTGTGCTAGAACAGCATGGCTCTAAGTACACAGGCTGCTTTTAGGCAGAGAATATTCCCATACATACATCACACTGAAGGTTTTGGCACCTTTTAAAGTAAGAAGTATTATATAAAACATGTCTGAAACATTAAAGAATGCCCATACAGTAATGGAAATAGGTTGAATTACCTTTGTAATTAATGTTCTACTATGTCAAATATTGTTAGATTAGCAACAAACCCAGTATTTTTTATTTATTAGCATTTCAGGAACACTTATTATTACATATTTCTATGTTTTTTGAAGAAATCTTTTGGTTAACTAGACTTCATTTTCATGATAGATAATAACAACAGAGTAAAGCTGATGCCTGATGCTGGTATTCCTGGATCTGACTACATTAATGCCAGCTATGTGTCTGTAAGTAGAAAGTCTCTCATATTTTTACTATATTTGTTTTCTAGTAGAAGAGAGCGTCAAAAAATAACTTGCAAGAAGAACAGAATTCTAATTTTCTTTCATTCACTACAGCCACTGTTGCCATGGTATTTTTCAAGTAACTTCCGTGGCACTGAGCATGACTAGTTAAAAATATACATTGTTCCATTTTCATTGCTAAACAATGATTTCCAGTAAAAATCAAAACTGTGTCCAGCAAATTGCCTTTTATAATTTATTTCATACCATTGTTATTAAAGACAATTGTGAAACTCCCACAGAGGTCAATTGTTTAGACAGGTGTTATTTGGTCTCTTGGTTCAGGAGTTAGGGTTGTTGCATATGAACAGGACAATGTAAAGATAACTGGACTGAAAACTTTTATACAAATGGCTGATAGATTTGGCATGGCCCTTATTATTTTGTGAAAGGTGTGACAGAGGAAAATGAAAATAGGCTTCTTGAGGAAGAAACTAATACTGTATTTCTCATCCTCAGCTTTCTTCCTAGACTTTCCATTTTCTTATTGTGTATTCAGTAAATTCTTTATCTATATTTTTACCTGATTTTTTGTCCCGTTGAAGCTCAAAGTGTGAATTATAATTATGCATTTAATTTGTTTTAGCAGTGGCTGGTGATCTCACATGAGGTCAAGACCTGATTTGCATCACACACTTTTCAAACACATAGCAAGACATCCAGACTGTAGTCTAAACTGATGACACAATGGCAAGTAGAAATAGTTATTTCCAGGTAAATGAAAGACAATCACAAAAAATAAGCCATGGAGCTGAGAGCATCTTCCTTTTTCATTAGAAAATGCTTTTATTCCCCTTATGTGGAATGTCTTTGTTCTGACAGTTAGGAGATAGGAAGAAACATGCCACTTGATGCTGGAACTATACACGGAACAACTGTGAAGGAAAACAGAAAGCTTGGAGCATGGCCTAGTCTTTACCCTTCCTAACACTAACCGACACGTCACGTCTTATGCAGGGAACGTGAACAGCAACTTCCAAAAACCTGCAGCAAAAGCCAGTTACAGAGAATGTTCCCTGCTGAGATTTTGCTGGTCTTTACTGCATACAGGCATCTCATTTTGGGTCACCATTCATCTGTGAATAGGCAACTCTGATGTTACAATTTCTCAAGGCTAAAGCTTTGCCCTTTAAATCTCTACATATTTGTAGACGTGTAAATATATAAATGCATATAACTGAACCTCTGCAACATTTCTGTGTGTGTATTTACATACCTAATTATCTAGGTGTGTATACATATGCACAAATATAAAGAGAGGAAAGAAGAAGTCTTGTATATAGTTTTAACAAATGGGAACTCTGCTGCTATTTTTATTTGCATGGGTTAAACAAGAAAAACTCAGTAACTGAACTGTGAGCTTTGCATCCCTGAATCATAGTTTCTCACCTTGCTCTCACATTAGGGAGGATTAACATAGTTTCCCATTTCCACCTGTTCTTTATATTATAGATGGAGTAAGTAACAGACAGCTGTGAATTATAGGGCTATAATTCTGAAGAGGAGCTTTGGTGGTGCTCTAAACCTCTGTGTCAGTTGTTTTGAGCAATAAGCAGAACTCTGTGATATTATAAACTGCTAGTGCTACAGCATAAATTTATTGTTATTATTGTTATTGTTATGTTACTTTCTGTAGTAAATAACACTTCCTGTAGGTATGCTTTGTTTATTTGAGGAAACAAGTGAAACCACACACTTACAGCACTTACACAGATTTTTTTCAACAAGCTTCCTTCCTCCCAAATCTTACATCAATTTATAAATTTATAAATGAATTAAACAGTAGAAGGCAACACTAAAATTAAAGTCTATGTCTAAAGTAGGTTTCTTGAAGACCTTTTATCAGAGATCATTTTTTGAGTAAGCTCCAGCCCTCAGTTACAGCAGATCCCTGACGAGCACGAGAAGAACAAAATCATCAGTGGGGATAATCTTGCTCTCAGACTGCTCCTTAGTTGTTTCCCTGGTTCCACTGCTCCTTAGCACTATTTTATTCTACTGTGTTGGGCACCTCTTGACATAGTTCTTGGTGGCCCCTGCCCACAACTGCAGTAAGGCTAGTATGAAGCCTTAGATACTTTTAAATGGGAATTGATGACCTGATATCCCTGTAATTTCTCTGCTAAATGCATTTCTATTAGCATGGCATTTCCCAAACTTTAGTAGACTATTGTTTCATAACTGGACTACAAAAAAAAATGCTGTTACTTCCTTAGGTTTCCAAGGCAGCCTGCCATGCAGTGCTTAGCAAGGTCTATGCCAGTTTGCTTAATATGTCTGACTAGGTTTTAGCCTTAGGCATGACAGATATAGGCACAACTATGAGTCACATGCAAACTCCTTTTTTTTTTCCTTGCCAACCATTATGTGTAAAATGTTTTCTTTTTCTTAGGGTTATTTATGCCCAAATGAGTTTATTGCAACTCAGGGACCATTACCAGGAACGGTGGGCGATTTCTGGAGAATGGTGTGGGAGACAAGAGCTAAAACACTTGTGATGCTTACACAGTGTTTTGAAAAAGGACGTGTAAGTTACCAGTGTACCAATTAAAAGCATTTGATATAACTGGAAATTCTGTATATAGTTTCTGTCAAGATTATAATACAATAATGTTAATTAATTAGTAATCATCTCCCTGCAGATAAGATGTCATCAGTACTGGCCAGAAGATAATAAACCAGTGACTGTTTTTGGGGATATAGTGATTACTAAATTGATGGAAGATGTTCAAATAGACTGGACCATCAGAGATCTAAAAATTGAAAGGGTAAGACAGAACTGGAAGTTGATTTTATAAAATTCATCTAACACCCCAAAGAATATCAGATGTGCTCCATCCCACCCAACTACCCCCTCAGTGTTCTTCGTTTAATCTTTTAATGCATATACACTGTACTGCCTGGTTATCCCACATTTTGTTTTCATTCATGTTTTATTTCCTGAGAATTTCTGTGACAAAGAGGTCAGATATTTTTCTGACAAGCTTTGAAGGGCCTATCAGGGTTAGTGAAACTCTGATCTGGTGGGAGGTGAGGTTTCTACTTGGGCACCTCAATTGTCTGTTCTAGAAAGGAGTAATCCTAACCATTCTGGAATCAGACAAATCCCTTTGAACGTATCCCTCTCAGATTAAAGGAAAAGATTCTCTGATGCAACTGTTTTGCATTGTACCATCAACCATTTTTGCCTCCACCCCCAGGAGATGCACCCAATATAAATGGGAATCATCAGTATTACTCCCACTCTTTGTGCTAGGAAACAGTGTTAGGGCTATAGCGTAGATCCACAACTATAGTTCCCACTCTTTGGAAAAATTATTACTCAGTATTAAGTCAGAGCAGCAGGTAGGCTCAGAAACAATCTGAGAATAATGACCCAAGATTAAGTCAGCCTTTTTACACACTCCCAACCTTGTATGTAGTGCAGCCAGATCCTATGACCTGAACTTGGCTATCCAAACACGTGTATTACCATTCTGTGGCACATGCATGTGACAAAAGGCACACAGGAGTTAGGGGATTGTCTCAGTGGTCACACAGTAAGTATATATTGTGCACATAGTACAGGGCAATTGAACATTTTTTTCAGCTAAAATAGGACATAGAGTAAACCAGACTGGAAAAGAGACTATTTAGAGTAAAAATGCATGTCAGCAAAATGTGAAGTCACGTGTGTTAACCAGGGGGAGCATGGGAAGATAATCTGACTTGACATTTACTATAGGTGAACTACCCTGCAGAACAGGTTATGCCCTTTACAAGCATGTCATTAAATGTGTCGTATTGCTGGTTTTAAGATTGTACTTCATCTTCCCTTCACAAATGAGTGGGTTCTTGATGACCTTCCACTGAAAGTAAAAGGCATATGTGAGGCAAATAACTCAAAATTGTATCCATATTGCATCCAAAGTAATTTCTCTTTAATTTTTATGTTGATCAATTTTTTAAAAAAGCATCGACATGAAGTAGTTGCTACACATAATTGCTCACAGTTGTTCAGTGTTACTTGCAATATGAAAGGAGCAACTGACTGATTCAAAGGAAATTTAAAAAAAATCAGGACTGGCTCATTACACAACAGTTTATTAAACTGTATTACTCATTGCTGCAGGATATTGTGAATGTTAAAACACAGGGCTTCAAAAAAATCTTCATAATTTAGTGGAAGAAAATTCTGACAAGTACTATTAAATTTTGAGATACTGCCTCTGGCTAAATTCACAGGTCACAAACTATAGATACATTGTTGTAGTGTTTTATAATGTTTCCTTAATATTTTTCCTTAACCACTGTTGGTAACTGGTTATTGATCTTGACAGGCCTTTGGCATGGTCCTGTTCTTTCATTTTTATGTCCTTCATAAATGATTTAGATATCAGATCATAATCTGCACTTTTCTTTAGGTTGCTGTTGCTGCTGCTCTGATTGAGAGGGCATCAAACACTTAGAAAATATATCAGTGTTTACCAGTGTATGTGGGTTTGCCTTCACTATACCAGATCAGTCTTGGAGTGGTTGCCTTTTTCCTAAACAAATTTCTCATTCCAGTTCACTAATCTTCTAAACAAGTCACAGAATTTCAACCTTCAATCTAAAAATTACATTGATACAGTAACTGAAATGGAGAGTGACTGCCAAAGTCATTAATAGTTCCTGAAAGATAGACTTGATGCCATCTCAAGAAAACTCGCCTGCCATAAGCTCTGAGCACAACAAATTATTCCTTCATGCCATTACATCTTATAATTATTGTGCTATTCGGACTTTATTTTTTACATGAAATTGTTGAGAAGGCTATATGTAACTTACTGAACCTTCTGTAACATTTCTTCTGTAAAAATTACCTTATTTTATATTTTCCAGCATGGAGACTGTATGACTGTACGGCAGTGCAACTTTACTTCTTGGCCAGAACACGGAGTCCCTGAAACAACTGCACCAATTATCCATTTTGTAAAACTTATCCGTGCAAGTCGGGCACATGATAACACACCAATGGTGGTTCACTGCAGGTAAGCACATTCACCAAATCATTGTTTAGTGTCTTAGAATTTCAAGTGCATACTAATGTGCAAGAAAGTTGCCAGAAGAACAAAAACGAAGACTGAGTGCACAGATATCATTCTAGTATGGACAGCAATGAAGTTCCTCTAGCAGCTCTTAATCCTTTCTGGGAGGAAAAAATGCCAAAGTGTGTTGGTTCTTCCATTCATGGAAAGCCATTGAGGTGATGTCATTGAAATTATTGCTTCAACAATTACCATAAGGAACTGCTGGATTTACCTCTGTTTTCCTCTTTAACCATAAGAGGAGAAATAGCAATGGTATGTGTTTATTTAAATTACTTCTATTATAATTAGAGCTCTTCTTAAGAAACAAGTATTAAAAATGTATTTATAATGTACGTTTCACATATCATAAGGAAGAAACTATTTGGAAACCACAGAGAATGAAAAATAGGAATAAAGGTTTGCATAGACCAGATTTCAAACTTGATTGCCTGTAAACAGATAAAATCTATATTTAGACTCTTAAATAAATGGTCTGGTGGTTAGAGGTGTTCAGCTGTCATAGTTCTGATTGGTTTCATACTCAACACCCTTAGACCGCTATTTCAAAGAGTGTGTGGGAAAGGCTGTCTTAAGCAAAGTGGTGAGTGTGTCTGCATTTTTGTGCAGGTTGATGTTCCTGCTGAATGAGTGGGCACACTCCAAAATAGCGATCTAAACTCAGATTTGATTCTTTGCCTCATTCTGGCGTGGTGTTTGGAAATATGTGAAAGAAAAGCTGGCTTTGGTGCCAGAAATCTCTTCCCTAACCACCCACTTTATCATGCATGGGAGTTCTTTTTATTTGTCCTCAGTGTCCTCAGGGTGCCACCCACAATGGGTGGTAAAGCTTCATTTATTAGATATCATTGTCTTTGACAGACATTCCCCTATACTGCAAGGGCCAGAGAGACTATTACAGGAGAGAACAACACACTCTTCATGTTTTCAGAACACTGACATTCTCTGGAACCCCTCTGCAATGAATACTATCCTGTTTTCAGAAAGCAGATATGTAAAGGGGCCACCATGGGCCAGATACTCCACCTATGCTCAAATTCCTAATGTTTATAAAACTTCTTCATGTGTTTTCATATTCAGAGAACTCATTCATTGCTTTCTGATCATTAGATCTTGCAAGTTCAAGAGTTTTGCTATATGTCCTGATTATCTGCAGTGATACACCCTGCATTTATTATACCAATTGCAAGGAAGTCTGATAGTGATTTTCAGAAAATCATGTTCATTAGGAGGCCTTTAAATAAAACACTACCTAGCAGCATGTCTTGCACACTCATCCTCCTTTAAAAAGTATTCTCTTTTAAATGTTTTACAGATCCCATGTAGTTTTGTGTCAAACACCAAAAGTATCTCAGAATCCAGATGTGATTTCGCAAAATCTTATGACTTTTTTCTTTCCATTAGTGAGCTCTAGAAAACTCACAGAAAAGCTGTAGAATGTTTTTTCCACTTAAACAGGTTTGGTTTAGGTATATTTTATTTGTCTGATGCAACCCTTTTGCAAAATCAAAATTAGAACATGGCTCAAATCAAGATGGCTCAAGATTTCACTTTATTCCATTCAGCAAGGAGACACACACATCACAAAATATAAATACTGAAAAAAGATTTAGGGGTGTTTTCCAAAGTTTTCTTTTCACAATAAATTTAATTTATCTAGGGTATTCTAAGAAAATATAAAAGCATTAACATAAAGGCTTTATTTTATCTCGTGTATTGTGTTTGCAGTGCTGGTGTTGGAAGAACAGGTGTTTATATTGCACTTGACCATTTAACCCAACACATAAATGACCATGATTTTGTGGATATTTATGGACTTGTAGCTGAGCTAAGAAGTGAAAGAATGTGTATGGTACAGAACCTGGTAAGATTCTATTCTGTTTTCCTGTTGTTAAAAAGTTAATCATCTCATTTTCTGATCTACAAACAGGACTAGAAAGCTCATAATAATGAGCTGTATAAAACATTTTTACCAAATCCTCATCATGTTTATTTCAAGCAATGTGCAGATATATGGTCTGTGTCTATTTAAGTATACTTGGCCAGCAAAGTCTTGACAAGTGCTGAAAAGAGTGCTATATAGATTTTAGAACCTACACAGCAATTTCTCAGTATTTGAGAAAGTTTATTTCATGTTTTGGGAGAAGAACAGTTGTTAAATTAAAAATGGATTTGCTCATTCACTACCTAATTTGATTTTATTTAACTACTTAACTGTGATTTTTTTTGTGTATGTATATGTGGCATAGTCCTCTAAACTTTTAAATATTCATTTACCTTTAAACTCATTACTGATTCCTTGATTCTGTTTCAATTGCATCAGATAAAATAGTACATACAAATTATGCACAGACTTCAGTGTTAAAAATCAAGGCAATTGTGGGTTTGGGGTCTAAAAAAGGACCTTTCTGGCAGATTTATTCAGTATGGATATAAGTTTGTGATATACTGCTGGTGAGGAAGACCTCTGCTATATCTGGAATTCTGAGTGTAGAGGAGTAATAGAAGAATGTAAAGGAGTAGTAGAAGAATATAAAGTGGATCCTAAATGCCCAGTGGAACAGAAATCAGCTGTATTTGCATAAGGCTCCTGGCAAGAGTCTCCTGCAGGCCAGATCTAACCCACAACCTGAAGCCTTTGAGTCTACAGCACAACTCACTACCTTCTCAGTATGGATGAGTAGTTTCAGGATGAACCTCCTCACAACTGATAGATTTAAATTGATTTTAACGTAAGGAGACTTGCTCCATTGGGAATGCAATTCTGCTATTCCATATCACTGCAGAATATAGGAAAAATGCGTCAGAATATACAAAGCAGTTAACCTCTCTTCAGCAACTGCACTTCAGAAGATTTTCTGAGACCTCCTGGTGATACTCTGCCATGATACGTCTTGTAAGGTGCAGTCTGATTACCATTTGCTTTAAATTTTTCTGTCTGAATTCTTGATGAACTAAATGATTGCCAGGACTTTCTTGTGATAATGAATCCTGGGAATGCTTTTTGGTTGTTGTTTTACACTTTTGACTAGAAATAGAATCGTCTGAAAATAAATCAAAAGCTGGAAGAAAATTTAATGGGAGCACTCCCAAAATAAAATAGTTAAATGGTAAGACATTAGATAAGATCAATGTACATTTTTAAAATATGCATAATTTTTGTATACCTCTTCATTTGCATATTTGGGCAGGGAAAAGGTGTGCCAAAATGCAATACAAGATGATGGTGTCATAGTTCTGATTTCCTAACAGATCAAGAATCAATCTGTATGCTAGTTGAAAAAGTCTGAGACAGGTTGTTCTCTGTCCGGGTCATTTCTAGCTCATGTTTGCAAGACTACAAAAGTCAGATCAGTACAAAACTTGCCCAGAGGGAATCAATCTTGTAAAGTTTTATGGTGGATTCAGAAGTCAAGCTATTCTGAGAGTTCTGTTATAAAATACTGTTAAGTTGCCCATTAATCAGATTTTACGTGATCAACACAGAAGATATAAAGAGAGGAGCAATTCCTTCCCAGAGCTCAGTTTAGAGATCCATCAGTCAAACTGTCTGTAAGACCTATGGATAAAAAAAGTAAAAACTGATTGTTCTGAGACCTGTAGCTTGCTTGTTTATAGCTTCAAAATACTTTTGCCAACAGTCACGATCTGCTACTGTAGCCAATGGATGCAGAATAGTTAAGAATGTCATTGATTCTAACTGGGAAAATAACTTGTTACACGTACATTGCCCAGGTAGCCTGCTTCATTCTCCCCTGGCAAAACCAGAAAGATTTTATTGCTGCATCAGAAGCAGCTGTATGAATACAAGAGATTATAGGGCTTTCAGAGTCTGCCTTCTGAATTGGAATAACTAATCTAAACTCCACTGAAACTTCAGACCTTAATTCTAGAAATCCATATTTGTCCAACAGACATGTTAAAGTTTTTCTTGTTGCCAAGTACAAAGGCTATTTTGTAAAAAGTAATGCTATGCTATTACTTCAGTAAGAAAGCTATTGGAAAGCATAATGGTACTGTATACTTCAGGGGCCTGTGAAAGCCTGTTTTAATTACCTCTGGAGCTGTGAGCATAAAACATCTCTGTGTAAGCGAATTTCTCTTATACATCTGAGACACTTGACTTGAAAACTGATGGCAGTTCTGAAGCAAAATAGCAATTATTGAGCAGAAAATTTACTTATTTTTACCTGGGTGAAAGTTACACGATAATAAAGTGATTTTAGTGGAGATATTCCAAATCCATCTTGACAAGGTTCTGGGATACATATTTTAGCTGGCACAGCTCGAGCAGTGGGTAGTTGCACTATGTAATCCCAAGAGGCCTCTTCCAACTGGAACAAATTTCTGATACTGTGATCTGGCTCGTTTTCTGCATCTCCATATACAGTACTTCTCCTGTGTGAATATATTTATTAATTTATTTATTATATTTCTATCTATTTTCATTCCTTTATTTAATTCTTACATTACCTTATTTTGTTTTTCTCTTTTCAGACTTTATGTCCTTGGAAGTGTCAGATTAACTTTCCACTATAGTTTATTAAAAATGAAGCTACAGTTCAAGTAGTATCACTAAAAATAATGTTGTTTTTTTGCTCCTGGCAATGGTGCATGCTCCTAGAACATAAAGGTTTAGCTTTACTTGAACTTTTGCATTTGAGTGCACCCTGCTGGTTTTCTCTATGCTAGAAAGAGGGAAATTTTCTTATCTAAATATTACATTCATGTGGTTTAGTTTCTTCAGTCTGAATCCAGTGGTAAAAAGTCTTTTAATAGAGCAAACATTCACAGAAAATTTTGGAAGAGCTTATTAGTCTCAGTTATTGTTAATGTAATTTCATAAATCTTAGTGTGCATAAAGATTAATACGTTTTGACAAATTTTAAAGCACTATGCTTCATAATGAATGAAATCAGATCACGCATATATGATACAGTCATTGAAGTACTGAGATTGCTGAGTTAAACTGCAGTTACTTTGAGAATATCTAGATGTTATAAAAAAGTTAAAAAATTTTTGGTATTAGAAGTACATTTTTCTTCTAATCAAGGATCTTTAAATTCACATCTTACAGGCACAATATATATTTTTACATCAATGTGTATTGGATCTGTTGGCAAGCAAGGGAAGTAGTCAGCCCATATGTTTTGTAAATTATTCAGCACTGCAAAAGATGGACTCTCTGGATGCCATGGAAGGTAAGGAGATACAAACTGTCTCAAAATCATTTTTTCATAGACTTGTCCAGACTAAAAAGCAGGAAAAAAATACTTTGACATGTGGCTTTAAAAATGTAAATTTCTAACATTTTACTGCTTTTTTTCTTCCTCATAGTAATAGCCATTGCTCAAGCTTTCCACTTCTTTTTCCCTGCAAAATCTTCTAAATTCAGCCAAAAATAGTCATCTGCCATTACTTACTATTTGTTTACAAGGTAGGTTAGCATAATATATCTGTTTCTTTTGCAGGTGATGTGGAGCTTGAATGGGAAGAAACTACTATGTAAATACTAGGAGTAAATATGAAAGAAAATGAGATTTTGAAAGTCAAAGTCATATTTTTCTAAGCACAGGGGCCAAAGTGAATTCCCCTATTTCGATGATTAAAGCAAGCATCTTCTCTTCTATCAATGTGCCTTCAGAAATAAGTTTAAGTATTTTATTCAGAACACTGAGCAACAGTGATTTGTAGTACCTTTGCACAGACTGCACTTCTGGTGTTATATGAATAGTGCACCCAGTATGTGTTTAAGTATAAAGTGTGTTTGAACATATTCCTTTTTGTCTGATTATCTTTGTAAAAGAAAAATGAGCCAAATAAGATGTAAAAATTTCATATTTCCATTGAACTTTTTTTGGTGTGAATTTGCTGTGTTCTGTGTGTTTTGGTTTTAAGTAAAAGCTACAGTTTCTTGAATCATTCTTGCTAGATTGGCTTCAGTGTTGTCAGTTCTTGCAGATTAATTCCAATACCATCACAATGATCTTTACATAGCTGTATGCTCTTGTGTTTTGAATATTTTTTTTACAAGTGGTAGCACATCAGCTCATGATCCTGAACAGCTGAAGAGTCACCTTCTGACTTGGAAAGGATTATTCAACTCTTACACAGCACACAGTAGCTCTTCAGGGACACTTGGGGCTATTTAAGCTATTTAATAATCAGCAGGTTGTTTTTTTTAATATATAATGGTGATAGCATATGTTCAATGCAGAAGAAAGTATTTGACATTTCTGCTACTTTTTCAAACAGATAAAATAAAATAAAACTATAAATCTATTATCTATTACAAAGAATTTTAGATTGACTCATGTAATAGAATGTTTAGAATTCATTCACATTTCTTGAATATAACACTATTCAGTATTTCAAAAGGTTGCTCAATTTAATATCAACATATTTTATGACAGTGTTGTCAAGTAAAAATGTTGTTGCTCCTTTCTCAGGCTTAGCATCACTGTAGACAGTAAAAATTATGGGAGCTAATATTTGGAGATTTAATAAAAGAAACATCTTCCACTTCCACTGATGATGATGATTATTATTATTGGAAATAGATCTGAAACAGAGCAAAAATATGTAGAGTAGGAAGACTAGAGAGATAATTAAACTGTGTGCCCCAGTTTTACATGGAAGTGACGGTATTCAATTGATACTATTGGGGGGAAGGTTGATTGCTAAGTTTTTCTTTGTTTAAAGAAATGTATCATCATTCTGAATAACACTGAAACGTGACTTTAATCTGAGTGCAAAACATAACAGCAAAAAGACTTTGGAGTTGCCATCTTATATTATGTTTAGACAGAAGTCAAAAGTGCCTTGTTGAGTCATCAAGCTCAGGAAAGTCAGAAAAACCTCTTTAGAACTTTGAAATATGTATGCGAGGGGCTGTGTTTGCAGGTGCACAGACTGAATGGAAGAGTAAATGAACAAACCTTTCCATTTCTTGACTGTAGATACAGTGCTACAGAAAATGCTGTGCTGTGGGTAACCTGGTACTTTTCAGAAGCAGAAGACAGTAGGTGTTTTTAGAAGCTGGCAAGATTGGTACAGTGAAGATCCCTTGTAATTTAGCAGAAAGTGCCAAATATCTAAAATGAAAATCAAAAGACAGAGTTTAAGGAGGTAGAAGTGGTATACGAAGATATTTGGGCAATCTGTCTTTTAGGAAGATTGATGGTATTGTAAACATCACCTGTCAAGCTAAAAAGTAAACAATGCCTTTTAAAGCTGGATAGAGCAAGAGAGAGGTGATGTCCACAGCTGTTCAAGTCTCTGGCAAAGCATTCGGTACAGCTCTAGTTTCGTTTGGTTCCTATGAAACATGTGTTCTTCATTTATTATACATGTACTTTAAAGTATTCTGACAAATTGCTTATAGGGACTTACAGATGTTTTTCATGATTTGTAGTTGTACTTGGTAGCAGTACATGCAGCACTGTGATAAACTGACATTATAGAGTCATAATCTTTCATAATCTTATACCTACAACAGTGGAATATTTGTATGTGTGTCATTCCTCTTTTGATTGGAGGAAAAATCTAAGAAGCCTTATGCAGTTTATAGACAAGCTCCAGAAGTTTCAAATGCATATAAGTGTTTTCTGTTTATTATAAAATAATTAATTATGAAGACTCCCATATACTCCTTTAGGGAACCTGCCTATGGTCAGACATTGCATTTGGTAGTCTGCTGGTCTGACAACTTAGTAAGAGACTAGAAAATGGAGTTTCTTTGCTGTAGAGGCAAAGTGAAAAGCTGAAAAGTAATTCAAGTAGTTTACTGTACCATTTGATGTAAGCAATCTCATATGTGCTCCGTTGACACATTTTGCATTGTCTTCAGGGTAAAAGATAACATTCAGCAATAATTGGCCACAATCCATAAGATATATGGTCAGGGAAAAAAGTATCTCCAAGCAACTCTCTCCAATAACTGGTTTTCAGTATAAACATAGCAGTAGTTCACCGACCTTCCTGTGTGTCTACCAGTGCTTTACAGGGATAGAAGAGCATCTGTATATCACGAAATTCCTCCAGACCTTGGTTCAGTCATGAAGAAAGAATTTCCACAGTCTCTTGTCTTTCATCCCTCCTTCCCTTAAGCAATGACAGCTATGGTGGTGCTACTGACAGCACTGCAGAGCTGGAGGCAAGCAATTTCTCTCTTAAGAGTATGTGTATATAAACAAAGCAGCATGCCAATTCATTTTTATTATCATCACTCAATCTTCTACAAATTCTTGGCATCACTAATATATCAAGAGTGTACTCTATCAAAATTAGAAAAGGAATAAATAAAAATTGCAGAAAAATTCAGAAATTCTATGGGATTATTCAGAGATTGTCTAGGATTATTGCAATTGTATTGAAACCAGGTCATACTGTATTAAATTATCTGGACAATTTCTAGAGACATAAATCTCCATGCATAGAAGAAGCAGTCTTTATATATATATTTATAGCCAGTTCTGATGGATATCATTACGAGAGACTACTGTCAGTGTCCTTAAAAACTGATCTGTTCTGTTCACAAAGGTAAGAGAAAAACAGCAGAACATCATACTCATGTTGAATTTTAAGTACTTCTTATATTGTTAAAAGAGTTGATAAAAATAATTGTGAAAAGTTGTGATTTTACTGTGTGTATGGAGCTGTTCAGTGATTTCAATTCATAACATTATGTGAAATTCACATAATGTGAATTAATCTGTGTAATACCATCTGTATACTGCTGCAATACAGAGTATGCTTATAAGCAGTTACTAAGACAAAGCAGTAAAGAGCAATGAGTCAATCATATTTTATACTAGGTAACAAGACGGAGCTTTCTTGGTTGAATACAGAAATTACAAGGCATTACAATTCCTAGATGTGAACATGAATTTGCAGAGATTCAGGACATGGAGCCCTGCAAAATCTGTAAACAGAAAAAAATTTTTGACAGTGAGTTACAATAAAATTTGAGAAGTATTTGTTTCAGAGGGTATTACATGTATGTTGTAACACAACATCATTGTCTTTCCATGGAAATAAATCATAAAAATAGATCCTAATTAATTTCTGTTTTAAGACCTATGAAAAGTATCCAATTAGCTCTCTGGTTTAGAGAATATGCATATGGTAATAATGAATTCAGTGCTGTTTTATAATTAAGTTACATGCCCATCGGTGCTGAAAAATTTGCAATGCATTGAGTACAGTCAACTGCAACTGGAAACCATTGACACATAGTGCTGAACATGTCTTTGTCGATTTTGATTTTAAGGAAAATGTACTGAAGGTTGAACCACTGTTTTCAACCACTTCTCTGAGACTGTTGTCACCATTCTATGTATGGTGTTGAAAAGACAAGTCCTCCCAGTGTTGTTCTCCATGCTTTATTCTCTTTTCTAATGCTGTATTGCTTGTCTGTATGTGATTATATTAGAAGGAATTGTAAACAGTAATATGGATCATCTGAAATCAAATACTGCAGGCATGATCTACAGGTGTGTAGTGGTCTTACTTCAAAACGTTTCTCTGTCTCCTTCCCATGAGTCAATTTCTAAATGACATCATAGAATATCAGCTGCATTTTTGGGCTGACTCTTGTTCACTATATTTTCTGCCCTGTCCTATCTGTGGCTACAATTATGAGGTATGAGGCAAGTGCAAACCTGCTTTTGTGGTCTGTGGTCTCAGAGCTGAACTGTGGTATCAGTTGGATGCCTTTGCAGCATTGGCACTGTATGCAATTGTAAGGGTAAGCTGGCTTCCTATCCAGGAGTTCCCCCTACTGCTGTAAGAAATTCTGGTATAAATTTTAGCATTTGTCATTGTTCAGTATCAGCTGAAAAAAGTGTCTGATATTTTGCATGGCCATTCTCTTCTCCTAATTGCTTTTCCCAAAAAATTATGAACTCATTCTTATTTTAATTATTTATTCTCACAACTCCCTTATCATGTAGGCCCTTTTTTAGATTCTACTATGTAAAGAAATATGAAAATCACAGGCTTTTCAGCACTGAGTAACAATGTATGATATATTTCATAGATCCAACATCAGCAGGCAGTTTGCATTGAAGTTGTGACTCTGTATTTCAGTTGGAAGATAGTATTTAGAAGGTTTCAGATATATTTGGATCATCTTACTCTGCTTGTTGATTGGTGTAACCAGGGTGATCTTTTTGTAGGATGACAGCTGCACCCAGCTATCCACTGTAATCATGAATAAACCATTCCATTACTCTTTACAGTCAATACTGTAAAAGCCGAGAGAAGTTTTACAGGGATGTTCCTGAAATATTTTGCAAGAGATGGAGTTCTGAATGATATAAAAAGAATACTTGGATACTGGAAACCTAATATGCAACTAAAGCTGTACCATTCACAGCTGCATTCCATGAAGCCTGCTGAGCAGGGTGTGTGTCCTAGAACACACAGAGAATATCTGGGACAACATTACACAGCCTTTCAGCTGAGTACTGCAAGATCCAGAGAACTCTTGCCATCCATGCAGGAATGCAGTTAAATAAGGTTTACTGTAAAATGTCCCTGGCTTACTTGAAAAACACAAATGCAGGAAACACCTATTATTACAGCTGGTAACATCCTTCATGATTCAAGTCAGTGCTAGGAAAAGGACTCTGTTTAGTTGATTCTTTCACTAATCTTAAATTTAGAAACAAGTATTTTGACACCACAAATGTAGAACATGGACAGATAGAATATAGACAAAGAAGATTTTCTTCCACTAATGGAGGCACAAGCAGAAAAGTAGTTAAACTTGTATGTCCCTCTCTTTTCCTCAGTCTGCTGTCTGCATGTGCTCACCAGCTAGGAGTAATTTCAGATAAATAGAATTTATTCACTTTTAATTTGATTCATATTTTGGGAATCCCTTTCTCAGAATCCAGCATTAAACAATTACAAAACATTGCTTTTTCATTTATCAATCTTCCGTTTGGATTAACAATAGCTTCATTTAACTATTTTTTTTACAGAATTCTACTAATTCTCTGTCAATATTACACAGACAAAATAGATAGTGTGAATCTGGGCTTGCATTTCATGCACAGAATTCTTCACTGAGCTGCACTAACACAATACTTCACTCCAGGCATGGGCAAGGAATTAACCTGAGGAGACTGGCTGCCTAGCATGTAATCTTACTCCTTTTTGAGAGCAGGATAGTTATTGACTGCCC